TATAATATACTTAACATCTATTAATCTTTTTAAGCTTCCAAATCCCACAGGAAAACTGGAAAGCCTCAGGCAGTCAAGTCTCCAAATAGGAGTAAGTAAATATCAGAGTCGTCATGATCAGAATCGGAGAAGAGCTGTTTTTTTTTGTTGTTTGTTTGTTTTTGTTTTTTTGTTTTTAACAAATGCAAGCCAAGGGGAGGCTGTCCTGGTATTTTCTGATGAAAAGTAATCGCTGAATCCAGATCAGAAGGGTCATGGAGTGACTCAGAACTTGGTTTGAGAAAGATACTGTCCCTGCTGTCCTCCGGTCTGGGGCAAGGCACCTGATCATCCTGTGAACAGTTTTGGTGCTAACCAAGAAAGGCTTCTGGGCTCCTTGAAAGCAGACACACTTCAGCCCATTTAGAAGGAAGCAGGAGTATCCTTGCCCATCCATTCAAACAGAAATAGTTCTGCTTGGGTGTCTGAATCCAGAGTTCCTGAGTGAGCCCTCCTCATTTATAGATTAGATGAAATCATTTTCAAGTAGTGATCAACCATAATGTAACCTTAAAAACCTGAAGAAATGGAATTAATATTATTTGTCTTCCAGACAGCTTAGTTTTAGGGAAAAAAAGTTTTCATTTAGTCTTTTTAATGAATTCAAAAGAAAATAGTGTTTTATGCCCTCTTATAAATAGGCTCACAGTGAGCCCAAGATCTTAATACTGTTATACAAAACACTGAAAAACACAACCTGGGGCCCATGCTTCAGTGGGACAGTGTTTTCTGTTTTGCACACATACACACTGGGAGATACTGAATCCACGCACACCTAGCTCTACCGTGTGATCACAGCATTCTTCAGTGGCAGGGGTGGGACCCACCTGTGGGTGTGTGATAGCTGCATTTGCTTCTCTAAGCCGAGATTACTGCATCCCTGATCCCCTGGGACCAGGAGAGCCCCGACCACCGTAGTGAGCCTGCTTTGCCTATACTCTGCTGAATACAGAGGAGGCCACTGCTGTGTAGACAGAGGGGAGACAGGCCTCATGCCACAAAGGTCCTGCCAAAGCCTCCCTGCCCCTCAGGTGGAAAGCCTCTGCAGGTCACGGTAGACTCAGTGCTGGTGTGTCCTGTGAGAACACCCGACGTGTGGTTTGGAGCAGGGGCTGGCAAGCAAGACTCGCTCTCCTAGACCCAGAGCCGGGTGAGAGTTGCTGGATGGCAGAGGCACACTGCTGCTTTTCATGAGTAAGGACTGAGACTCAACATGGTCACTGTTCCTGGAAAGTACTTATCAGGTCTACACAGAGCACCGCCCTGAACTGTTCAGTGTACACCATCTCTAAGAAGAGAGGAACTGAACTGTAATCGCCCAAGTGACTCGTTCATATACAGTCTTGAAAAACACTCTTGGGATCACTCTTCTGCTTTTTCCAGCCCTTCTGCCTTTTGACCCCAGGTTTTCCTCTCAGTTGACCTTGGACAACAGCTAAACCGTCCAGCAAGTGGAGTCTTTGTAGCACTTGAAGCACTTAACTGTGGTACTTTGAAAAGTAGACTTACTATTGAAAAAATTTCAGCTAACACTTTTTGGGAGTTAATCCTACCAGAAGTGTTTTTAAGATGGATTCTGATTTTTCTAAAATGGCAAGATACTTTATTTTTGAAATCTCGTTATTTTAACACTGCATTGTTAGGTGTGATTTTTGACATCCCAGCGAGGCAAAGCTGCAAACTCACCAGATGCCATTTAACTTATGGTGCATTTTGTCAGATCTTATTTTACACAGTATATGCATGCTTAATATAGATTCCACAGCCCTGGAAACAGTTTTGGGGATAGCAAAATTACATTGTCGGAGCTTGTGGTGCAAGTCCTATGATCCTAGAGATGTCAAGTAAATGGAGTCTGCTATTATCAAGGCATCCCACAGTTAGAGGGGCAGATCCAGAACCTCAGGTCAGGGTGTGATTCCACCTACCTCCTGGCTTGTGGCCTCAGTCCATACCCCTTTTACGTGACCACCTCTCAGTGCAGGCCCCAGGGACAGGGTGATCTGACTGGAGTGGATACCACTCCTGGAAAACCCAGGCAGGTGGGCTGCCCTGATGGGTAGACCAGTTGTTCTCCAAGGGACCACACTTGGCATCACCTGGGAAGCTTACAAAACACCCGTGACGAGGCCCCAGGGATTCTGACTCACTTGGCACAGGTGTTCCAAAAGTTCCCCAAACAAAGCTAAGGTGAGGCCAGGTAGAGGTCCACTGGTGGGTTGGGGGAGGAGCCGGAGGGCAGGATTTGGAGTGGGTTGGTTATACTCTTTCATGTTCCTTCGGGACACTCACATCCTGGGAGAGAAGTGTACCACCTATTGGTGGCAATGGTTATGTGCCATTAGGCTTTTTGGGCACGACCTAGTAGTGTCGGAGATTGTTCCATAATGAATCTGAAACTTTGGTTGCTATGAACGTGACATGAGACATTTTTAAAAATCAAGGTTGCAATATGATTGCCACTTTAAGATCCACATTTCTTATTCTTTGAAATTTTACTCTGAAATACATGTCTTCTGACAGGTATCACCAGAAATATACATGTGTTCACATTTAAAAATAAAAACAGGTGGAATATATGTAGCTCCAAGGAGAATAACTAATATTTATTTATGCATTAACTATTTTGGAAGCAAATTATTATTTTTTAGATGTTGATGGACCTTTATTTTATTCATTTATTTATAGGTGGTGCTGAGAATCGGACCCAGTGCCCCTCACACATGCTAGGCAAGCGCTTGCTCTACCACTAAGCCACAATCCCAGCCTGGAAGGAAATTATGCTCTGTGTGTCTGGTTGGAAGTTCAGTTCCTGTTCCCAGGTTGATCTAACTTGTGCACCAAGATTCATGTCAAAATGAAAGAGAAGCAGCTCTATGTCAGAACCTGGCAGTCTGTCAGGGGCTGTCACTTGCCCTTGAGCCAGGCTCTGTGGGTTACTGGGCCCATTCTCCTACCTCACCTTTGGCTCGTGCCCCGGTTCTGCCTTGGACCATGTACCCTTCAGGACGCATTTGCTGCGGCCTTCCTGGGCACCCTGTCCCCAGGCAGCACTTCAATCTTTGTGATCTCTTGCAGTTTCTATTTGTTCCACCCAGGCTTGTGTTGGTTTTCAGACTGCTTGAGGCTGTGCTTTGGCATGTCCAGCCTTGGCGAGTCTCCTGTCCTTGGGCAGGATCTGTCCCCCACTTCTTTGGATTAAGAGCAGGCCTGCAGCTGGAGCCACTGAAGTAGACCGAGAGGCCAGGCAGGAGGTCCATGCTGACTTCTAGTTTTGGTTGTGTGTTCCCATCACTTGAAGACGCTGTCAGGGAGGGAGTTGGATGGGGGAAGGTGGGCCAGAGTGGCCTGTGTTTTCTCTGAGGCATTGAACTTGCCTGGTGACAGCGTGTGTAAAATGCATGTCAGGCCACCACGTACTTGTATCATGTTTGTATTCTAAAATTTCCAGGCAAAGTGAATGAATTAAGCTAGCGTTAAGAGACCTAATGTCAAGTTCAGCTTTTTACCCCAGATGGAGATGGACATAGTCCAGGCATGAAGGCATTTAAACTGAAGGAAGGACTGTTTGGGTTGAACACACGAGGCTGGCTAATGGTGATGAGCACTGGTTGTCAGCACTGGGTGGCCGCTTTGTTGCTGGGGAAGTGGGCACTGAGCTGGGCGTGTGGGGCAGGGGCAAGGAGAGGCGCCTGGGCCCCGACAAGCCTCCAGACTGACGTGGGGTAAGATGGGGTGGGTAGGAGGGAAAGAAAGAGCACAGAGGACACTCGGGGTGTGATCTGATGGTGCTCCAGGACCTGTGGAGGCCAATGGGGGATGTGCTTGAGACGGGAAACCCCTCCACTGCAGGAGCACACAGGTGTCACTGTGAGAAGCCACTGCACGTGCTCAGACCTAACAGGGACTGGCACTGAAGGCCTTGCTCTCCCCAGGTATTCCTGCTCCTCCTTTTTTTTTTGGTAGTAGGGATTGAACTTAGGGGCGCTTGACCACTGAGCCATGTCCCCAGCCCTATTTTATATTTTATTTAGACAGGATATCCCTGAGTTGCTTAGCACCTTGCTGTTGCTGAGGCTGGTTTGAACTCGCGCTCCTCCTGCCTCAATCTCCCAAGCCACTGGGATTACAGGCATGTGCCACTGCGCCCGGCTTCCTGCTCCTTTTTGACTCAACCTGTGTGACTCTGTCCCCACTACCTGGATGAGCGCCCTCTCTTGCTAGGTCTGGCTATGGCTACTCACTGCCAAGACCCAACTTGGCCATACTCCAAGGTTTCCCACGGGTCTGGCCTCTGCTTTTGCTCTCTCTCTCACCGGGTGTCATTGTGGCACCTGCTTCCACCCGTGCCCCTACTGGGCTCTGCAGCCCCTTTCAGAGGGCCTTCTCTCTCACTTCCCAGTCTCCGCCCCGTTCCCAGCATAGATAGGCACCAGCTCGAGATGTCTCCATTCATACTTGGCACATGCTGGCTCAGCTAAATGGTCAGATTTGAAGGCCAAACTCTAGGTGGACTGGATCCAAGCCATCCTAAACTGGGTGGCACTTAATGTGATTCCTGAGCATCCGGAAAGCTAGTTAGGCCAACTGTTGAGGGATGTGGTGGGCCCAGCTGGGCCGTCTCCTGTGTGTGCTTTTCACAAAGGGACCACACCTTGGTTTTAGAGCAAAGTCACCTTTGCTGTAGAGGGTGGGCCCTGGGCCTTGAGACTGATTCCAGTCAGAAAGGAGCATGTGATGGCTGTCATGAGTGGGAAGCCTGTGGCAGTATTAAACACAGGGTAGGTGCCATTTTCCTCGATGGACTTTTAAGTGGTAGAGTGGTCTGGGATGGATGAAACTCTGTGCCCTTGACGCAGCCCTGTGCGATTCCTGAGGGCCGGCATGGCTGGCTGGCGCTGGTGGGAATGGGGAGCAGCATCGTGGGCATTAACTACTCCCCACCTCTCCTCACCTCTCAGAGTGCTGAACAGATTGCCGCGCTGTGCAGGGACTTTACCGACACCCAGACCAACAGCATGGAGGGACCCAGGGAGAGTCAGGACCCGCCTCCAAGGCCATTGGCACGCCACCTCTCTGATGCAGACCGCCTCCGGAAAGTCATCCAGGAGCTGCTGGACACCGAGAAGTCCTACGTGAAGGTAACGGAGGTGCCAGACGCTCGCTCCTTTTTGGTCACGGCGAGTTGTTATGTTAGCAGTGGCCTCACGTCACCTCTGCCGGGGACACCTGCCACTCATGAGACAGACACCTGCTCCTCAAAGAAGCCATGAAACATTGCAGGAAAGGAGGGCAGGGTGAGAGGGTGGGAGAGCTGAGAAGACTCAGAAAAAATTAGATTCTCGGCTCGTTTTGTTACCAAGGTAGCTCTCACTATGGAAACAGATGTTCTAGTTTGTCATTTGCAATCTGTGGGAAGGGAGTCTGCACTGCTTTAGGGCGGGGCAGAGATCACTTTAGGTGATAGGACACAGGCAGCAGCCTGTATAGAAGCCACTGCAGATGCAAGCCCCCAGAGCCTAGGGGTCATGGGCAGCAGGGGCTAATGCAAGGGTATCATGTGGGAACATTCTCACTCCATGATGGGGGAGTCATGTCAAATGTCTAGGGGACCCAAAGAATTCATTTCCTTATCTCACCTACCCCAGGGGAACTTTATGAGCACAGGCGCCTGGGAAAGCAGACTTCCTCACTTTAAGTATTTGCTGAAACTCGGGACCTATTACCAGGTCACTTCACTTGTCTGTTACTAGAACAGGATGGCACAGGTTGGTGGCTGAGAACCCAGGCCTGGCTCTGCCGAATCTGGCTCCATGTCCTAGGACATCTTCTCCAACTCACTGGTCCCTGTGCTCTTCCTGAGCCTCTAGCTCTGCGTCCCGAGGCCAGGAGCCGAGTGCTGGCACACACGTGGCTCTTCCCTTCCTTCTCCACAAGGTGCAGCTGAGATTCTCTCAGTCACGTGTCTACTGTGTCCTTGGACTTTAAAAGCCTTGCTTACAGGTAGATCAGGAAAGCTCCCCCAAGCCCCTTCCTTTGGGCTATAGGGGAGAAAGAAAAGCTAGATATTAGTTCTGCTCTCCATTCTGTCTGGTCTTGCAGTGAGCGTGGGGAGCTCAGGGGACCACAGGGAATGACAGCCAGATTTCTGAGCAACTCTTTGCATCCACGGTGGCCTTTCTCCAGGTAGCTCTGAGAGCTCCAGAGTCCTTCTGACATCCGGAGTCCTGGAGCCTTGATGGGCAGAGAGAAGAGTAGGATCAGGTCCCTTTTTGTCACTATTTTCTTCTCCCTGGGGATACCTCCTGCTACTCTGGGTGGGTCATCTCCCTGTGAACTAGTAGAGGACCACCGTGCAAGCTGTGGGTCAGGACAGGAGGGGCTGGCTCCCCTTTCTCTGCAAGAACCTGCACTTTGTTTTCATAGGGCCTCAGGCTGCAGCTCTTTGCCACCCCCAGCTCAGCGTGACCTGGCTCTTTCTGTGCAGTAAGTCCCCTGGGTGGCCTTAGACTGGACAGCAGTGACTGCCGTGCCCGCCACTGTCTACAAAGTAACTGCACCTAGTGCCTCCTGTGATTCATACACACACCCCACTACTGCTATTTTTGTTGACATTTAACACGTCATTTTCCTTGTGGTCATTCTTTAACCTAACCTGGACTCCTGCATGCTCCCTGAAACGATCAACATCTGTGTGCTCCCTTCTCACTTCTCAGGCCACTGTGCAGTTTGGCGAGGGAGGAAAGCCAGGGATGTTTTTATTGTGAAGTACCATTAGTGTCACAGGCCTGGTCTTGCTCTCAGACTGATGGTCTTGGGCTTGAGAAAGCTCTCTGGCTCTTAGATTTCTCCCTTGTAAAATGAGGGAGCCACCGCAGCTGACTTAGTAGTCAACTATGTCTAGTATTTTAGGACTAAAAATTCTTCAGGATAAATGAAAAACCAAAGAGAAATATTTTCTATCACTTAATTATATCCTGGTCTCAGCTTCAAATTATTAAATTAAAAAACCCTTCATCTAGAAGGTTTGTAAATACAGTGAGCTCCAACTGTTCTGCGCTTACAAATGTAGCTCACGTTTTAAACATTCTAACTGCTAACCTCTGGGGATTCTTTTGTTGCATTTGAACATGGGAGTTTAAAATTCTGCTAATGCGTCAACCCCAAAATCGAAGAGCTCTCCAGATCTCGTTCTTCCAGTCCCATGCTGGAGCTGTCCGCCTGCCCTGGTGCAGAGAAGGAACCCAGATATCCAGTGGGGCCCCCCTGGCAGCAATACCCAGCCACACCTTGCTTCCCCTGCAGGGAAGGGGGGTCCTGTGGCAGTGGCCTAGAGACAGAGCGTGTTTTGTCAACACAGATAGGTGATCAAGCTGTGAGGAAGGTTGTGGAATCCCGTTGACAAGTGTTGTTTATTAAGCTTTAGGTGAGCAAGAACAACCCCTCTGGGTGCCAGGAGTGTCAGCAGGACACACCTCACCATTCCTAATGGGAGCCTTTGGAGCTGCTGCCTGCTGCTGGAATCACTCGGGTATTTGAGATTTAGGTGTTAAGAAGGCTTTTCTTCTTTCAGGATCTGAGCTGCCTCTTTGAATTATACTTGGAGCCTCTTCAGAATGAGACTTTTCTAACCCAAGATGAGGTAAATAACGCACTTGCTCCCTCTCTGTACTGACAGACAGATTCCTGCTCCCTTTGAACTGATCTCACACAGACTCTGTGTACTGATTCCAATGAGTAACCGGGGCGTGGGGTCTCCTGAAGGTCCTACGTGTGGCCTCTATTGCATGAACATGGCAAGGGCAGAGGGCTGGTCATTGTTATTTATAGTGGAGGACATTTGTTCCCAATTACTTTCCAGAACATGCACTTTCAATGTTAAGCCACAGAAATTCATTCTTTTCTGTGGACTTCCATCTTTCCTGATTTGAATACCAAGAATTTTACATCTGTGTAAAAAGTTATCTTAGAAATATGGAATCATAGGGGCTGGAGCTATATGTCTCTCTACATTTAAGTGAAATCCCTTATGAAAATGCTCTTCTGGAAAAGATCTGCTCTTTCTGCTTCTTGGGGACCTTCCTTGTGACTGACATGTGGGCCTGAGGGGGCATCCAGCTTGTCCTGGCTAACACTCTTTTCAAACCCCAACTTTCACGTAGATGGAGTCGCTTTTTGGAAGCTTGCCAGAGATGCTGGAGTTTCAGAAGGTGTTTCTGGAGACACTGGAGGATGGGATCTCGGCTTCCTCTGACTTTGATGTATTGGAAACCCCCTCACAGTTTAGAGTGAGTATTTTAGACTTAGATTTAAAGCAAAATTAGGTGGGAATGGTGCAAAAATCTCTCTTCAAGAAGGCTTGGTGTCCCTTGTCCAGGTGAACTTTGCACATTCGCTGCACTGTTTCCCCGGCAGGTGGTAAAAGAAGGCCATGGATTTTTCTCCTAAAGTAAATGCTCTGCCAGTCAAAAGTCTGGGCAGCCCCACCTCTGCAGCATCCCCTGGCCGTGGACCCCACCCTTCTCCTTTCTCAGCTTTCCAGGAGGTATCTGGGGTGTTGCTTCTGAAGCAAGAACACCTGCCCTGAACCTCCCCTTCTCTGTGGTCCTGGGAACCTGGCTGGACAGCATAGGTTTCAGATGCTCCGATGGAGCCTTCTCCTCTGTGGTGTCAGAGGAAACTCCATGGATGACACGAACCCCACCTCCCCGCACCACCCCAGGGACGAGAAGCCAAGAGGCCGTGGAAAGGGGTCCAGAAGTAGAGTCGAGTTCCAGACTCTGTCCAGCCCAACACCCCCTTGGCCCTCCTTGGCGGGTGCGTTTCTTAGCACTCTCTGCTGCCTGTCCTCTGATGGCACACCAGGTCAGAAGGCTCTGCCAGGACCTCAAGCTGTTGGCCCACTGGGGGAATCTGGGTGCATCCAGAGTGAGCAGAGCAGCCCTGGGCTTATGTCAGTGGGGACTTCTGAGGCACATGTGTTTTGGTACCAAGGAGGACATTATGGAGCGGGCCTGCATCTGCCAGAAGCCCACACATGGAGCAAAGCGAGTCTGATTTGACTTTTCCTCCCCTTCTAGAAACTGCTGTTTTCCCTTGGAGGCTCTTTCCTCTATTACGCAGACCACTTTAAACTGTACAGCGGATTCTGTGCTAACCATATTAAAGTACAGAAGGTTCTTGAGCGTGGTGAGTAGTGCATACCTTTTATAATTGTGTTTTGGTCTTTTGCATTTTTAGTTTTGATGCAGAGTAAATTTGTATTTTAACAAGCGGAGGTAAGTGCAATTTCAATGGATTTGGTTCGTTTCTTAGCCTTGAAAGTGTCAGAAGTTCTGGGGACAGTTTTCACTTATTTCAGTGTACTGGCAGCACTGAGCAGATGTGCCCGAGACATAGTGGCTGCTTTGCTAGGTGGTCGCCCTCTGCTGTTGGATTTCATGGATTCCTTTCTTACCACATCCCAGCCTTATGGAACCTACCACCATACATCTTGGATGGGATAGAAAGAAATGCATGCTCAGGACTTTCTGGTGTCAACCCTCTTTAGCTGGAGGAGCAATGACAAACTACCACCAAACCCACAAGACGTGTGTGAACTACTGGAGTCTCTTTGTAGAACTGGAAAGAACTCACTCTCCCAGTGGTGGCCTTTCTCTGCACACTGTCCTGGGGCACCGAGATCTTTCTCCTGACACTGTTTAACCACATCTACAGCTTTTGCATTTAGTTTAATGTAGAGCTGTCAGTACCTCAGAAGCCCCCAGTTTAACAGATGGAGTCTTGGGACACTTACAATTCCTAAAACTGGCCAGAATCCACTGTGTCCAGTCACTTTAAACAGAGGACTAACTCCAGGCATTTCCTCCTACAAACATCATCTTATGTATGATGGTCTGTAGAAAAATCAAAACATGCAGTGCCCAAACCCCTTCTTTGTTATAATGAGGTTCACCTCACCACTGAGTTGACTGAAAATCATGTTCAAAATGGTACTGCATCTTTTAGATGCTGAGATTTTGCCTTTGTCAAAGAACCCCAAATAAGGGCAAATCCTCATTTGGATGGGTTGCATTCCAAACAGCTGGCCGACAGAGGCCACCTGGTGGAATGCAAAGTGGCAGCTGGTGTGGCCACTGGCACTCACATCACGGGCACCCGGATTCCTGGGTGTACTTTGTGGCACTAGACACTGAAGAGAAAGGCAGTCCTCACTGCCAAAGCCGGTGCACCGGCGCTGTGACTCTGTGGCTCTGTGAGGGTTAGGCTGCAGGGCTCATTGGAAAAATTTTTCAAAAATTTTTCAAAGGAAAAATGGTGGTGCTTTTTCAGATAGCACCATGAGGTGGAGACAAGAGGGAACAACAGTGCTAGCGAGGCAGGTGGAAGAAACTCTGGCTGTGCTACCATCTGAATCACATGTGGGTACGGCCGAGGATCTGGAAGGAGTCTTGTGGCTTGATGAACTGTTTGAAACTCACTTTCCAGGCCGCCTGTGAGAGCGACCCTGAGTGTGCACCTAGAGCCAGACAGGCGCGTTCAGACTTGTGCCCCTCTTGGGGTGGGCCTGTACTCCTCCGCCTTCCTAGTAAGCTTCCTTTGCTCAGCGGACCGTTAGAGCTTCGAAGCTGAATCCCAGGTTGATAACTGGGTGCCTGGTGCGGTGATGTGCTTGGACCTTTATTTAAGGATGGCATCACGAGGACTACAGAGTGGATGGTCTAAAACTCTGTTAAGACAAATGATAGACAGTGTCATGCGTCCCACCAAGCTCTTCTAAGGGTCTTTCCCCATTGCTTACAGCCAAAACCGACAAGGCCTTTAAGGCTTTTCTGGATGCGCGGAATCCCACCAAGCAGCACTCCTCCACCCTGGAGTCTTACCTCATCAAGCCGGTTCAGCGAGTGCTCAAGTACCCTCTGCTGCTCCGGGAGCTCGTGTCCCTGACCGACCATGAGAGCGAGGAGCACTACCACCTGACAGGTGAGGCTGCGAGGACGGCAGCATGAGCTGCAGGGGACACATTCTGAGTCACTGTCACGGCTGCGACTCATTCAGTTTTCCTATGTGATGACAGCTCAGTATGGCCATTCCTTTAGAATACAGAGTCCTTTGGTAAAATCAGTTTCCTGCAGAAGCTCCCAACAATTCTGAGGGGTGATTCGATCTGATTTAAACTCGGTGTGTTGAAGTAAGCTACGTGAGTCACTTGGCTGGTAAACTGGCTGCCAGAACAACAAGTCAGGCCTCTTCCTGCCACTGTGACAGTGCTGTGACAGAGCTGTGACAGTGGCTGCCCTGGTGCTGCTGATCCTACGTGCTGGGGGAGGCGCCACCTTGTGGACATCTCTGAGCAGAGCAGGGCTGGCGGCGAAGTGCTCAGTGGCAGACTGTGCTTTGAGGTCCAGGCTGATGTGTTACCATCTGAAGCCTCTGAAATGACTGGCTTGAGGTACTACTGGACAAAGCACAGGGCCCTGCAATTTCAGAGTAGAGGATCCCTTAGAGAGATGCTTCATTTGGACAGGAGAGAGAAGTAGTGATTTATTCTCCACATGTCAAAACTAGGATGTCAAGTTAAGCCAGCTCATAAAATTTCTGGGGAGAGAAACAGATTTGTTAATAAAGGTTAGCAGTAGTGAATAATAAGCACCAGAGGAGTAAATTCAACTTGTTCATCCATGACAAGCATACTATGGGTCATAAGTAGTGCAGACAGAATTTTTTTATATAAAAGTTAAATTCTATAAGTAAAGGTACAAATTATGATTAGTATTCAGATACATACAAAGAGTCTGTTTTGCATTACAATGACCTTTAAAAAGTCTACTAACAACTTTCTTCCAAACCTCCCTCCTGGCAGAGGATGAAAATGCTGAATCAGGAGAACAAAGTGTTAAAATACTTATTTTGAGGTGACTTGGAATTTTGCTTTTTGACTTTGACAGAATCATTTTGTCCCTTATGCGCCCTCATACCACATATAAAACACCATGTACCAATACAAACCACTGCTCTGGCAGCAAGGTGTTTACACAGTTTACATCTGTAACTGCTAATTGAAAATCATGGATTCCAATCCAGTAAGTGGCCTTGGAAGAGAGGCTGCCTTCAGGAGCAGGTGTCCTGAGGCCTGCCACCCCTTGTTTTTATCCAGAATCTGGCAAAGCACTCTGTATCTCAATTATCTCTTCTTTAAAATGAGGTTGGTTACAGCCATCGTTTTATGGTGGGGATGAGATGATTCACATTCATCACTCGTGATGCATGTCTAGTGGAAAGTGCTGTGTGTTAGCGCTGCCTGTTAGTCATCACCAAGAGAATTTGAGGTAGAAGATATCTGGCTGTTCATAGAAAGGACTAGATTACAGGGGGCCCTGGGAAGCCACACCTGAGCAATGCTGGTGGTGGTGGGAATCAGTCTGGATGGCTCTCCTCTGAAGCTCCTTCATCACTGTTGTTGGACAGACTTAAAGCAAATGAAGATGATAAACATGATTTCATATTTTTCAGAGGCACTGAAGGCAATGGAAAAGGTAGCAAGCCACATCAATGAGATGCAGAAGATCTATGAGGACTACGGGACCGTGTTTGACCAGCTGGTAGCTGACCAGAGTGGTCCAGAGAAGGAGGTCTGTTGGGCTCTGGACTCAGAGAGGCCCTAGGCCTGGGTAGATGGGGTTTAGGCTACACTGATAGTACTCTCCTGGGGGAGAAAACCACCTAAAATTTACTTAATTTTTAACATGCAATTCACTACATTGGTCTCAAAATGTAACCTAATGACATGTTCACAAATGAACCAAAGACTACAAGTAAACCACTTCACTGGGTTCATGTCCCCACCCCTGGGCATGACATCTCCCAGTCCCAATTCTTGTGCTGGGAGGGAAGGATGAGGGAAAGAGGGGAGCAGCCTGCAGAGAGAATCAAGGGCTTCTCCTTTTTTATTCTTCCATTTTGAGCATCAACTATTAGTGGCTACCTGCTTACTTAAGCCAGTCCAAGTGGGATTTGACATTTTCTACATTATTCTTTTCTTGTGACTGTTAAATTTAGAACCCTGTGCTTTTAATGTCCATATGCATGCAAGAGGCAATACAGTTTGAGTAAAAAAATGGCAAGAATAGAAAAGAACCGGAATTTAATTTTTTTTTATAATGGTCAGTTTCAATGTTGGTACTTCTTTTATTATCAAGTCTAATGCAGTTTAGGATTAGAGGTGGCAAATATACTAGATATTGACACAGGCCCTTCAGATGAACACTGGTGGAACTAACGTTATGGAAACAGCTCACGAGGCCCCTCTCACATCCACAGTGTGCAGTGAAGCAAAATATTTCACTTTCATGTGGTCTATCCACAGTTTGATGCTTAGCTCACATTATAAAACCTACTATTTAATACTCTGTGTTATTGGGACCATAAAAAATAGGTGCACTTGTCTTTTAGCAAATGACCACATATATGTAAACCTCTGGGGGTTTCCACATCTTCTTTATTTCCTGTCTTTACAACCTAGGTAACAGAACTTTCCATGGGGGAACTCCTGATGCACTCTACAGTTTCCTGGCTGAATCCGTTCTTGTCTCTAGGAAAAGCCAGAAAGGATCTTGAGCTTACGGTATTTGGTTAGTATTCCATTAGAAAGAACGCCAACTCTCAAGAGACAGACACAGTAAGGAGAACTGGGCCAGCCCTACCCAGCTAGCCACATGCTGATTCCCAGGAGTTGGGAGAACAGCCTCCTCTGGCCCTTCACAAGGGCCTCGCCTCGGGCCGTGTGGCTCAGAACAAGAGTCATGGGCACAGATCTCCCAAGGCTGTTTTGAAACCTGCTATCTTAAAGCTTGCTGCACTTCAAAATCTCTTAAATTCTGAGAGTCGAATGAGCAAGTGTAGAGGGTGTAGCGCCACTGAGATGCACACCGTGTCCTCAGCCTCCATTTAAACAGGAAGATTCGCAGTGCCAGGTCCTGCTTTACAACACTCCACGCAGGATGACCAGAAGGCAGCGCGGTTACTCACCTGGTGTTGGGATCACAGTGGGATCTTAGCGACTCCCAAGCTTGAAGAGCTTTGTTCTAGTAAAACATTCAGCATTAGTTTAACCTTGAAAGAGTCTCTATTAAATAATGACTTTTCTTTCTCTTCTCCTTTTAGTTTTTAAGAGAGCTGTCATATTGGTTTATAAAGAAAACTGTAAACTGAAAAAGAAATTGGTAAGACAAGAATCACTTTTAATTAAAGCTACTTCTCCACAGCTGTCTCCTACGATGTTGAACTAGAAAGCTCGCTGAGCGCCGCAGCCTCACAGGCTGATTAGTACTTATTCCGAGGATAACTAATGAAATCGGGTACTCAGGGCATTTCTGAGTCTCCCTATAGACTTCTGTTCATGTGGGGGCCTATGTAAGAAATCAACTTTTATATCCCTGAAAATGGCCCATGTTTATTCCACACACATCGGAGTCCGTGTAGCTTGTTTTTTTTTTTTTTTTTTGATATTCCAATTTTTCTGTGTTTTTTTTTTTTTTTTAATTTTTTATTGTGGGTTGTTCAAAACATTACAAATTTCTTGACATATCATATTCCACACTTTGATTCAAGTGGGTTATGAACTCCCACCTTCACCCCATACACAGATTGCAGAATCACATCAGTTACACATCCATTGATTTACATATTGCCATACTAGTGTCTGTTGTGCTCCGCTGCCTTTCCCATCCTCCACCCTCCCCCCTCCCCACCTCTCCCCTCCCCTCCCCTCCTCTCTCTCTACCTCCTCCACTGTATAACCCTGAGGGTCTCCTTCCATTACCGTGCAATTTCCCTTCTCTCTCCCTTTCCCTCCCACCTCTCATCCCTGTTAAATGTTAATCTTCTTCTCCTGCTCTTCGTCCCTACTCTGTTCTTAGTTACTCTCCTTGTATCAAAGAAGACATTTGGCATTTGTTTTTTAGGGATTGGCTAGCTTCACTTAGCATAATCTGCTCTAATGCCATCCATTTCCCTGTAAATTCTATGATTTTGTCATTTTCTAATGCAGAGTAATACTCCATTGTGTATAAATGCCACATTTTTTTTATCCATTCGTCTATTGAAGGGCATCTAGGTTGGTTCCACAGTCTTGCTATTGTGAACTGTGCTGCTATGAACATCGATGTAGCAGTGTCCCTGTAGCATGCTCTTTTTAGGTCTTTAGGGAATAGACCAAGAAGGGGAATAGCTGGGTCAAATGGTGGCTCCATTCCCAGCTTTCCAAGAAATCTCCATACTGCTTTCCAAATTGGCCGTGTAGCTTGTTTTAAAAGACCTTTGACCCTGACTCAAAACACAGGCTCCCACAGGTCCCTAAATCAGAGCTTGGCCGTGGTCCCAGGCCCTCAGCAGCAGGTGCACAGGGCTGGCTGTGGTCCTGGACCCGGGACAGCGGCACACAGCCTGTCTGCACAGAGGGACTGTGCACACCTGCTCCCTGGGAGAGTCCCTAACCCTCTTTCCTGTGGGCTTTTTGTTGCAGCCCTCGAATTCCCGGCCTGCGCACAACTCCTCTGACTTGGACCCGTTCAAATTCCGCTGGTTGATTCCCATATCGGCCCTTCAAGTGAGGCTGGGGAACTCGGCAGGTAACTCTTGTGCAGCGCAGTGCCAGGCAGTGAACTGCAGAAGGAAGCAGCGGCAGGCAGGGGCATGTCCGCTCTGTTTCTGTGACAAAAGCAGCTGAGCGCCAGGCTTCAGGAGGACAGACTCATTTCAGAGGTGTCTGTTCTAGGTGGCGTGGGCACAGCACTCATGGTGGGAGGAGGCCTCACCTCGCGGCAGGCAGGAAGCAGGAGGGAGGGGACTGAGATCCAGTGCCTTCTTCAGGGCACACCACCGTGCCCTGACTTCCTCCCACGGGGCCCCACTTGTAAAGGTCCCCCCACTTCCCAGTGGCACCGCAGGCTGGCAAACAGGCCATCAGCACGTGGGGGTACACTTCTGTCTCTCTTCTTTTTTGTGGTACTGGGGATTGAACGAACCCTGGGCCTTAGGCGGGCTAAGCAAGCGCCCTGCCACTGAGCCGCACCCCAGTGGTGTGTCTTGTTTTATAGGGAAGGAAAACAAGGACAAGAGGTGGTTTTGCTATTTATTGACAAACCTCTGCCAACGGATGGTTTTCTCTGACAGATGGCCCTTTTCATCACTTTATTTTCATGATCAAGTTTTCAGTGTTTCTCTTTTTAGCCTAACATTCTTTTTTTTGGGGGGGGGGAGGGGTACTGGGGATTGAACTCAGGGGCACTCAATCACTGAGCCACATCCCCAGCCCTATTTTGTACTTTATTTAGAGACAGGGTCTCACTGAGTTGGTTAGCACCTCGCTATTGCTGAGGCTGGCACTGAACTCACAATCTTCCTGCCTCAGCCTCCCAAACTGCTGGGATCATAGGTGTGCGCCACGGGGCCTGGCTTTAGTCTTTGGCCCTGGAAAATGGTCACAGACCCTTCCAGAATAACCATGAATTGCTGGCAGTGAGTCAGGTGACAGAGGGCGACAGGCTGGGGTGTGCAGTGATACGTGGTTCTCTTTAGTCTGTCAGAGGCACTTAGGTTTCCCCAGGACGGGACTGTTACCTCAAGGGCCCGAGCACTTTCTTCCAAAAGGCCAAAGAGCGGGCAAGAGGAGGATACATGTTAAAACATTTTGTCCTGGAGCATTGGAAAGGCAGGATCAGACAGATAGCTGGAAAACTTCAGTAGGAAATACAAACTGTAAGCAATAAGCATATCAAGATCACACACAGCCCGAGCCACAGAAGAAAACCAGGAGTCAGCACTGGGACTATTTGACTTTTTAATCTTGAGTGTTAAGCGTCACAAGGGTTCTCAATCGTGGCACATGACAAAGTCACAGACTCTTGTTTCCATTTCTCTTTACGCAGGGACAGAGAATAATTCCTTATGGGAGCTGATCCATACAAAGTCAGAAATAGAAGGACGGCCAGAAACCATCTTTCAGCTGTGTTGCAGGTATTTCTGACTTCCAAAAATTTGAACCAGTGAAAATGACAGAACTGACCCCTAGAAAGCTGAGTTTTAGTGCCCACCTGAGTTTTGGCTCACACCCACCCCCAAAAAAACAGCCACTGAAGGCCCAGTGGAGGGATACGTTGATCAAGTATACACACCTAACCCTCAGGGAGACCGCCTCTCGCCTCCTTTTGTAAGTGGGGACAGCCAGGCAGAGAAGATGGCTTTCTGCCAGCTAAGCCCGGATGCTGGAGGGCATGGTTGGCAAAGGCAGTGCCCAGAGCAGCACCGAGGGCCAGGGTAAAGGCCGAGGACCCTGTAGACCATTGCTGTGCCCTCACTCCCACAGTGACAGCGAGAGCAAAACCAGCATCGTGAAGGTGATCCGCTCTATTCTGCGGGAAAACTTCAGGCGCCACATCAAGTGTGAGCTACCTCTGGAGAAGGCGTGCAAGGATCGCCTGGTCCCACTGAAGAACCGCGTTCCAGTTTCAGCCAAATTAGGTGAGCACTTTGCCAGCTCCGTTTATCCACGACGTGGTGGGACGGGGTGTGCTCTTGTCATCCATCTCTGGGGAACACTGTCCATGCTCAGGGGAAGCTTCGTTTCCAAGGGACCCAACCTGGCTCCTGCTCCAGCCAGCCTCTGAGGAAGGCATCCGCCTCCAGCCCAAAGCCCACTCTCCCAGGTCCTGATTCACCATCTGTTCTGCTCACTGTGCATCCCCAGGTTCACAACGGCACCAGGCATCTAGGCCCAGTGCTTAAAAATTAAGATCAAGAAACCTAATCTTTTGTTCTACGCAGTTAATAAGCCAGCAGGTGATCACTCTAGGTTCTGCTCTTCAACTTTGTTTGCAAAATTTTAGCATCAGTCTTCAGAACCTTCTGTCTTGCTGTTTCACCTTTTGTTCTTGTTACCACACAGTTTGTAAAACTAAAAACATCTTTTTCAGCTATAGTTTGACCTCTTCAGATTATGTGTTTAATGTCAACATAAACCCTGGCCACCAAAAAATAATATGCAGCTAATGTCTGGAAACACTTCAACTGCAAGTTCCTTTCCCCATCAACCCAAGAGAACAGAATGAAACACACACAGGGCTCAACATGCAGAATGCAGACTCTCTGAAAGTTGCTTAGAAATTCCAGAGAGGGTTCTTATGAAAGATAAAGAACATATTTCTGCTTTTAATGCTCACTTCCCTGAACTTACAATTTCAAGTGAACATAAATAAAAAATTTCTATGCTTGCAGTATTTACACATTTCTGTCTAAATACCAGGTAATAGATTTCAAATGCTAGAATAAAGTCTTACATAATTAAGATGTTAAGTCTCATACCTTACGAATCAGAAACTGCCCACTATGTAGTCTCTTTGGGTCACAAAGGGAGAGCAATGTTCTTTTCTCGTTGCAGCCTCGTCCAGGTCTTTGAAAGTCCTCAGGACCTCTGCCAGCAGCGATTGGCCCAGTGAGTCCAGCAAGGGTCACTCTCTGGACTCGGACGAGTGCAGCTTGAGCAGCGGCACCCAGAGCAGTGGCTGCCCTGTGGCTGAGAGCAGGCAGGAATGCAAGAGCGCGGCTCCCGGGAGGGACCCCCACGTTGGCCCAGCAGAGTTTCCAGACAGTCTCATCAAAGAGAGCGATATTCTGAGCGACGAAGATGAGGACTGCCACCAGACACTGAACCAGGGCAGCCCTACCAAGGACATCGAAATTCGGTTCCAAAGACTAAGAATCTCTGAGGACCCTGACCCACTCCCGGCTGACCAACAGCCGGGCACCAGGGCTGACGAGGGCCAGAAGGGAGGGGAGCAGCCCAAGCTGGTCCGGGCCCACTTCTGCCCCATTAAACGAAAAGCAAACAGCACCAAGAGGGACAGAGGGACTCTGCTCAAGGCGCAGACTCGTCACCAGTCCCTTGACAGTCAACCCGAAAACGCCAACATTGATCTAAATTCAGTTCTAGAGCGGGAATTCAGTGTCCAGAGCTTAACTTCGGTTGTCAACGAGGAGTGCTTTTATGAAACAGAGAGCCATGGAAAATCATAGTGCAGCTCGATCCAGACGCGGATGACACTGATCCTTGACTTTTAAAATTGGTGAAGTGGAAACTGCAGAAAGACCATTACTGGGTTTTGTGCAGTATATATTTTCCCACAAAAACATTGTAAAGATTTAAGTTATTTTAATTTATTGTGGACCAGAAAACCAGATTAAACTGGTCAGAATCTGTAAATTAGTTTATATCCCTTTTTGAGCAGGTATCAAAATGATTTAGAATCCTTAAAATAATTAGAATGAAATTTTATTTTAAGTTATGTGGAAAAAGTAAGGTCGGGGAAGTTGTGATTAATAGCTTTAAAGGGGTCCTTTTCCCCCCAGAAGCTTCTGGGCATTTTCTTTGAGCTGTTAGTTTTTGCTTTATTTAAAGCAAATTTAAGTTATTTTAATGTGGTTTAGGGACACAATGTGCAGAGATTTCATTTTTGTAAGGTTGTAATAGATGCTGTTTATACTAAACTTGTCATATCTATGCAGTATATATTAAAAGAAAGCTGGTACTGTATCTTGATATTTATTTTCTTTACCAAGTTGTACAGTAAAAGGAACATGTCATCTGACCACTGGTATTTTACTGTCATTCTGTGAAGACGGACAAGGACCGAGAAGGCCCACCTGCTGGCTGCGAGCCTGCTAGAGTCCACAGCTCTCCCTGTCACTGTCTTTTGTCTGATTTCTGCTTCTACTTTGCTTGAGTTCTTCTCGGAAATTATAAGCAAAGAGCTGTGGGTCTTCGTCACACATTTTTCTGTATATGTCACAGAGGTTCTTAAAGTGCAAAACCGAGAGCTGGGTGGGACGAAGAGTGGGGTCTACGTCTGCCAACTGCAACAACCTTCCTGTGCTCTCCAGGCGCTGAGCTGCAGGGAACAGCATTCTGGGGGAAGGGGAAAAAAGCAGAATTTTACTTAAATTCTGGGAATCATCCCATCTCCTACTCTTAAAGATGACAGGGTTCCTGGCAATTGCCACCTTGAGGGAATGATAGAGGCCACTGGAACCTCTTGGATTACAAGAGGTACGACCCACCAGAGGTAGATGCACCCTGCTTTGGAAAGCAGGTGTGTCCAAAATAAAAGTTTCCAAAGCTAGCTTGCTACACGTCATATCTGCTCAGCTGCATCTTGCAGAAGTATGTTCTGATTTGCCTCAAATTTTGATGAAAATCTTCTGTATTCCTAGGTACCAAAGCTCCAGTTTTGATTCTCTATAATTTGAATTTCCTTCACCCCCAAGAGTGACTGTTTTGCAAAGCTACAACACGGTTGATGGGAAGACAGCACTTCCCCTCTTTAAGATATTTTTGAAGCATCTTTACGGCGTTTCAGAGTATTTTAAATTGCATTTAACCAAATGAAGTCATTATTTTAAAAGAATGAAACAACTGCTTGGGACACTGGGAGGAGGTGTGCCTGGCCCTTGTTTTCTTCTCTCAGACCTCAGTCCACAGAGCTCACCCAAATGGCTTGGGAGATGTTGAGGCTAGCGAAGGCTTAGTGTCCTCACCAGGAGCTGCAGGCCCCCACACTTTCAGGTGAGGTGACCTCAAAATCCAGCTTCATAGCAGGATGGTCTGATGATGCTCTAACATCTGGGACCACTGTGTGATATGGTGTGACTGAAGGACACCAACATACCAAAGCAGATCACAATATTTGTCCACACCCATAGACAGGACTGTGTACAGAAATGAACGGGGCCTGTCACTTAGCTGAGGGTTGCCTTGGTGACGGTAGGTCCAGCTTTAAGTTCAGACCAACTCAAGGATTTCTAAAAGCAGGATATACTTTGTGATGCTTCCTGGCTATGAATCGGGGTGGTCAGGTACGGCTGTGAGTCCCACCTGGACCAGCAAACAGCAGGCCAAGAGTTAAAACTGCCACCAGAAAAGAGGTTTTGTGGAATTCTGCCTAGCAGAGCCTGAAGTCATTTCACATGACCAGAGAGGGAGCTATGCGAGGAGGTCCTAGAAATGAGAAACGTGTGCCTGTAAAGCCAAGTCCCTTTCAACAGCTGAATGCTGCCCATTAGGTGGAAATCTATAAAATACATTTCTCAGCCTTCTTAGTCTATAAGTGACCCTCAGGATACAGGATATCACTGTGGTCACTGCAGGTCCACTGAGGTATGTGGGCTCTGAACTAGGGCCCAGTGTCCGTTTCCTGTGCGGAGCAGCGAGCAGAGCTGGGCCAAGTGCGCTCACGGGAAGGAGCCTGTCACTTCGTTTTGGCTGCTCAGAAGTTACATCTGCTTCCTAGTTGTCATGTGTCCTTCAAGAAGGGAGATGGCAACGTGGTGCAAAAAGCGTGGAAAAGCCACGGTCTGTCTCTGTCCATCCTGAGAACCCATCACCTCCCTGGGACTGGGTCAGCATCAGGCCTGCAACCGTGCCAGGCCTGAGAGTGGCCTCTGAGGCAAACCAAGGGAGCCACGTTTTGCTCATCGCAGGATTCCAGCTAATGACAGAGTAGGAGTCACGGAACTTTAGGGATTTTAAGGCCAGAGAGGAGGGGCACACTTACCCCAGGCCGTGGTGGCAGTACTTCCTCCGGAACTGAAATGCATTCTGAACGACCTTCTCCACCAGCTTGAATGGCTGCTCTATCTTGGGCCGTATCAGGGGCGTGAAGTGCACCACTCCCACGTCCACCTTGATCGTACACAAGCATGCGTCACTGTGTGGCATGTGTGGCAAAGCACAATTGAGCAATTCATCTTTAAATCCCGGAGTGTGGGCTGCTGAAAACACCGTTTCACAGCCATACCTTTCCACACTCCTCTGGCCTCATAAGAAGCTGTGTTCGATTTGAGAGGACTCAAGTCCCGGTTGGCTCCATCTATTCCATAATACATCCCCTAGATCTGTGCCTGATGACCACTTAATTTAAAAATGAAGCCTTACAATAGCCTTTACAGTCCATTCCAATCATCATTAAAGTCAGGCAAATAACAGATACCATTAGGATATTTTAGTTGGCTTTGAATGAATAAAAAATAAGCTACAGCAGCAGTTCTCACTTTAAGTCAGGGCCTCAAAACAGTGAAGGCAGATGGTCCCTAAGGACTATTTAGCACCAAACTCCTGGAGAGGGGAAACAGTTAGGACACCATCTACTATGGGTATGGACATGATTAATCAGGTGGACAGAATTCAGGCACACAGTCTGCACAGCCACCTAACTTTCTGGTGGGAACTTTACATGCCCCAGGAGGTACAGGCAGGACTGAAACTGAAATGGAAACCTCCAAAAAATGTCACTGAGATTGTTTAGGCTGCTCCCGGCTGTTGAGATTCTTTAATTATCAGAAAATAAAACTTTTCAGGCATATCTTTTAAGAGATTTATACCCAGCCTTAGTCCAAAAATGGGCTCAGTGGCTCTCGGGGATACATTAAACACAACAAAGGAAAAACACTGAAAGCAGAGACAAAGGGAAATGAAATCGCAACAGCTCTCGAGGTGTACGCAGCCTGACAGAGACTGTGACGCTGGAAATGGAAGTCTCTCCGCAGCCCACCAGGGGACCTGGCTCCAGGAATTGAAACTGCACTCTGAGCATCCCACAGGCCCTCCGAAAGCCGAGAGAGAGAGAGAGAGAGAGAGAGAGAGAAAGAGAGAGAGAGAGAGAGAGCGCGCGCGCAGCGTGGACAATATAAGCTGTGCTGCTGTTTTCTGAATCCCTCAGAGGGCATCTTCTCCTGAGAGTCTCCCTAGAAAAAGGCTGGAACACGGGGCAAGTGCTGTTCTGCTTTGACTTCAGGGTGGAGGAAACATCATGGCCTATGGTGTGATACATCATGCAAACTACATGTTACACACTGGATTTCCACATACTCTGAAATGCCTGTCCTCACCTTTCTTCTTAATTTGGGATATCTGATGTGATACGTGAAAGAATATGAACATGCTAAGACGTGCTCAGCATGTTTTCTTCAGGTCTAAGGACAGCCCAGCCTTCTAGGGCCACTGCCTCCTGAGAACCACCAACAGAGAGGCTTTACACACCAAAAATGCCTTCCCCAGATGTTTGCCAGCTTCAGACCATTTTAATGAAGATTTCATGGTGGACAGTAGTTATGAGTAACGGCTAAATACAACGTTAAATGTTCCTAAATTTTGCAAGTTTTTCTAATTGTGCTCTCTGCGTTGCTTCACCAGGTTAAGTTAGCAACGAGTACTTCTGTAGGGCTCTAGAAGGCCAGCACCTTCCTTAAGACTTGAAGAAAACACACTGAGCATGGCGGTCAGAGGGGAGAGAGACTGAGAAGGTGAGTTAGGGGTCAAGGGAGAATGCTGCCGTCACCAGAGAAGATGGCTCCCTCTTAGAGCACTTCTGTGGAAGGAAAGAGACGATCAACAAATGCGGCACAGTGGGAGGATCAGCCCAAGGAACACCACGCAAACTACATGTTGAACACTGGATTCCACATACTCTGAAATGCCTGTCCTCACCTTTCTTCTTAATTTGGGATATCTGAGCAGGTTCTATGACATTCTCTAGATTTCTCCCTGCCTTGTCATTCTGTGACCACCACTCCTCCTTTCCTGTCACCATCTGAGCTCCCTGGCATCCCTGTCCCTATCTCTCATTCTGCCAACCTTTATGACTCATTTCCCCAAACCCATCCATCCAATTCTCCCAAATTACACAGTCGATTCCAGCAGCTGTGCATTCACCAGGAATGATCCAACAACCTGCTGGTCTCCAGAGAAAAACATCTTTCAGCAAAATACAGCATAAGATAAAATTTAACCCCTACCCAGCCCCAAACCATCAAAGAATTAAAACTCAGGATAAGTTTGCATGATTCTAAGACTCTAGGAGCAAAGGCGCAGATTTGGGGTTGGAGCATGTTCCCTCCCATTCCTTCCTGCACAGAAACCGTCACTTCTGGCTTCTTTGAATTAAAAATTCGGTTTCATCGTTATTTGACTAATTTCATTCTTTTGAGACACAGTTGGTGTTTGCAAATACAGGAAACATCTAGTGTTTGCTTTACTTAAATATTTTAAGATCCTGCAGAAATATAGCAGCACCCATGTAAATGGCAGCAGATTTCCAAAGTTTGAATACAATTCTGACACTCAGTGAGGTTAGCTAACATTTACATTGCAGCTAAAAGAAAACCTCCTCTTTCAAACGCAGCACTACTTAGTGGGGGCCTCTATAAAACTCAGAGGCAAAAATAACATGGTCAGTAATGCCTGCTGCTTCTAGTGTGGGAGGACCTCTCCTATACACCCTTTTCTCTATCCCTTTCCTAAAGAGACTTGTTGGAATACTCCGTATGACAGAGGCCATTTTCTCCACAAACACAGGAAGGCTGCTATGTAACTATGGTAACAGATACAAAAATGCTTTTTACTTATAATTGAATGCTTATTTAAAATTACAACCATTATTTTTTCTTCCTTGAGTTTTATAAAAATGAAATCACGATAAAGGCACTAGATGCACTTAACATATTCTAGCTTACTGTGGCCAACTTCTTTCCACAGTCTATCTGCAAAACAAAATGACCTAGTAATATTTCAAATCTAAGGGACTTATAATGGATTTTTCTCTTTGCCTCTCTAACCATCACAATGCCAACGCTGTACCAGGCAGTTTCTCAATGTCAGCAGCCATGACCATAACAGCCTGAAGCACATGCCTCTTTTCTGGGCCAGCATATCTAAGGCATGATTGGTTATCAGCTCAGAGCAGCTACTTTGCATTCAAAAGGGACAAGGGTCAAGAAGCTGTTAAACCTCAAATCTTGGATATTACAACTCAGATCCCTAATCAGTGATATATAAGGGATAATGTGCATCCTGACTCCTGATGATGATGTGCCCAAGAGCTCAATTACACCCTATGAACACACACAGTCCACTGTCTGGAAAAGGGCCGCCATTCCAACACTCCCTATGGTCCTTGTCCCAAACCCAAATTAAGGACAGAATTTCAATTATAAAACCTTAAAACTTTAACAGCAGTCCAGGTATTTCAAACCAACATATTCAACAAAGATAGACTGTCGGTACCCGAACAGCTTTCTTTAAGGTTTATAATTTGTGTTACTGTAACAAGATTAATTTCTGTAGACCATCCCATACTTTTTTTCCTCCTATAGATCTTTGCAACCATTAAAAAGAACAGATTTCAACAGTAACATAGTATTTCCTCTCAGAGCATGAGAGGCTGGGAAGAACCAGGCCTGGAGAAGGACAGTAGGCTTAGACCACAATGACAACACCAAGAATTGCCTGGGGGGAGGACAGTGGAAACTTCTAGAGTGTGGATTCTGTATGTAAACCTATGTGACTTATCCCTGCAGTCCTAGTAACAAATCAGCGCCTCTGTCCAAGAGATGTGAAGATTCATGGAAATGAACACTTCATCCTAAAGAATGCAGAGAAGAACAAAAACTAACAGTTTAGAATTTCAGTTCTATTTAATTAACCTGGAGTTCCTGGATGACCATGTGGAAAACACCTTCCTAAAGCCAAGACTTTTCTCACAGACCTGACCTTGGTGACCAAGGCACTGGGGGCCCTGTGTTAGCTGTCCTGCATGTGCTCCCACTGTGGTCAGCAGGTATGGCAGGAACTGCTTGACTCCCCTTGGGGCTCCCTGCAGGACACAGTGGACAAGCACCCAGGTCTGGCCCCAGCTCTGCAGATCCAGAAAAACTCCAGCACCTCAGGACTGATCAGTCCTTAAAGATGGTTTCAAGTGAATAAACTCACAAAAGATTAAGAAATGCTGCTGCTATTAACATTAACATTAGTATTGATAATATGGATGTCAATATATGAATTCAAAATGAGCCAAAAACGCTAACAGACCACCTCGAGGTGCCTAGCCAGTACATCCTTCCTGTCAAACTCCCCATAACTGCAAGCTCTGGGGTTATTAAGGTTACATAGTGCTGTGGAATCAGAGCAAGGGCACTAGAGCTGACAGCTGTAATGGCCTGTGTGCCCCTAGGGCTGGGCACTGAGTTCTCTCAGGGGTGTGCTACAGGCAGCCAGACCACCTCCTCTTTTGTTGAAGCTTTTCTTCTTCACATGTTTTCCATATATATACTTTTTTTTTTTTTGCAATGCTGGGTTGAACTCCACACCTTACACACGCTAGGCAAGTGCTCCCCACTGAGCTACACCCCGACTTTCACATGGGTTAATGCTGTCCCCTGCTCTTCCTATTTCTAACACGTAAAACATTCTGGGTTTTCTTTCCTTTCTTCTTTTCGGTTTGTTTTGTGTGTTTTAAGGTAGATTGGATCCCATCTTTTACATATTTATCTCACTGGCTGAACTCACAGAATTCTGGTGGGGAGGGAGCTCATTGCCTCCTTTGGTATTACCAGAGTTATAAAAAATAAGAGAAATGATTCAGAATAATTAATTCTCGAATTTGGTAAAATCCAAAGTCCACATGAACTCACCTGAAGACCCTGCAGTGGGGTCAGGGCTGAGATGCTGGGGAGAAGAGAGCAGGCCCCAGGGGGGCAGTCGGAAGTCGGGGGAGGAAGAGGCCAGGGAGCAGCGGTACCGGCATGGACGGGCACCTCAGCCCAGTCTCAGATACACCAGTGAGGACGGTTAGAAACACCAGCTCCTCAAATAATGTTCAAAGGAAATATGCTATGGGAAGAGCACAAAAAATGCATATCCACGCCATTTTGAGACTGAAAAAACGAGTTTATCATGCAGCTTCACCATAAAATGCATGGACCATATTCCAACATGAGGTAATGAAGACCCAGAACATGAATTCTCAAGATTCTTCCTCAGGAAGACAGAAAAACGAGTAACAAATGTAAAAATGACAAATAACAGAGCAAACGAAAATGCAGCTGTAGACAGAAGCACACACCTGCAGGACGACCTCAAGGAATCAACACCAACACACCAAGGAACGTTCCTCTTCATTTACAGCAAAGTCCTCACTACTGACAGTGAAGCCACAAACTACCAATTTTAATAGTGAAGTTTTCAGATCAGTCTATAACATTATTTTAAAACTAAAATGGCCATAAAGATGGAAGAAAATGGCAGACTGATGTGTTCAGAGCCGATGCTCTTTATTTCCTAAGATTGGTCAGAAGAAAACCATCATTTTAAGATCAAATCAATTACATTAAATTTGTGAGACTAGAATAGGTAAGTAGCTTATCTTTGAATTATTTTCAACATTGCATAGAAAGCTAATAAGAAAAAATGCTATTTTTTAAAAATGTAGAACCCAACTTCCCCTGAGAATTAAGTGGGTAGAACTGGAAAAACACACAATGGGGTGCCATCCCAGATCAAGGGGAACCCCAGGCCTAGAAGATGAGCATGTGGGACAGAGGGCCGCCGACCGAAGACACCGCAGCTGCCCCTAGTGGACCAATGCTGCCTCTGGGGAAAGAGTCACTGTCAATTCATTCACCAAGCTCTGGCAGCCCAGGGACATCCCCAAAGCCAGCATATTGCCAGCCCGTCCCCAGCCCCTCCATAGCTGAGAATGGCCCTTTGATGATTTTGTTTCAAAAATGTAGTATGTCATATAGACTGGAAACAAAGATGATGACATGTTTTTTAACAGGCCAAAGATGACCTTGACTGTATCATGCACACTCAGCTGTATTTCCTGAGCTTATGAACAACCTGTTCAATAGTCCTACTGCCACTGACTTCCATGTCCTTTCTTCCACTACAAGAGCCTCCCAGAGTCCTTGCCTCCGACCTGGGCCTCTTAAACACACTCTCCATAGCTCATCAAAGTGCTTGCATACCACCAGACCCACGAGAGCTAACTCTTCCAGTTTCTAGTGGCATTCAAAGTCCTCATTAGAAGAAATGCCGGCCAAGTGTTTCCCTTTTCCTCAGGGACCCTTAGGCTTCTCTTCTGAGAGATAATACCCTTGTCACCCTCTCACAGGCTGCTCCTGGGATCAGGCGATAGATGGTGAAAGGGAAATGAAAATAAACTGTTAGGTTCTGCACAGAGGCATAGCGTTATTTTCATAAAGTGTTCAGATAATGACTGATGCTTTCAAAAAGAAAAGCCAGTCTGAAGAGCCAGGTTAGCATCACTAGGCAACACATTACGGGGATTGCATACAATTTTTAAAAATAGAAACAGAAATGAAAACATTGTAAAGAAGCAAACAGAGGGACTGCCTGACTCAGGGTGAGAACAAGCATTTTATGTGAAGCGATTTCAGAGTTAATGTGTCTCCATGACCTGCAAAGACTACCCTAGAAAGAAATGGTCAGCAAATGAGAGCTGGACATGTGCTGTCCTCAAAGGAGGAGGGCAGTGCTCTGCTCGCACTATTCTGGGCCTCAATCTCATTCCTGCAACTTATCGTTTTTTGGGCCTCGGTCAATTACTTCTCTGTATACTGGTTTTCTTATCTGTGAAATACAGACTCCTTTTACCTCAGAGGTTTGAGAACTAGAGTGTCTTAAACAGCACCGAGTATCTAGGTAGTAGTTCATAAAAGACAGGTATTATTATCAGCCAAAGCAAAATAAAGACTTGCAAAATTACTTAAAATTCTAATCTTCTTCAGAAAGGATAAAATTATATTTTAAATCATTCAAGAGTAACCCACAGTCTAATTACTGATAATTCAAAGCAGCTCCTGAATTTTTTCAAACCCCTTCTTGATTCTAGGCCCTGCTCCTGGTGCAGGAGACCTGGCGATAGTCAGGACAGACAGGAGGCCTTGCCCTGGGAGCTTTACAGTGCAGGGGTCCTGAGTGGAGCTCCCCGGCCCCTGGTACTGGCGACTGAACACAGGGATCCACCACTGAGCTATAGCCCCAGCTCCTTTGGTTTTGAGACAGGGCCCTGCTAATTGTCCAGGCTGGCCTCAATTTGTGATCCTCCTGCCTCAGTCTCCTGAGCTGCTGGGATGACGGGTGTGTGCCATCACACCTAACTTTTTGCAGAGGGGTCCTAAGCCACAGTAGAGTATTAGAGGGGACCAGAGGCAGAAGGACTCTTGAATTTTAAATTAGAAACAAAACAATTTGTTGACTGACTGACTGACTACTGAGTAGATGCTGCATAAGGAATCAAGGATGACTTCAAGAAGACGTGGGGCCTGCCGAGTGGAGGAAGGACGTGGCACTAACAGATGCAGGGAGACGCGTCTGCCGTCTCTGTATACCTCCAGCAGGGTTGGAGGCCGGTAGTTCAGTTTTGTGCCATAAGAGGTCTGCGGTGTCTATCAGTGAAGTGGATCGGCAGATGGAAGCAGGACTTGGGAATGAAGGGAGAGGGTCAGGCCAGAGACTTACGGGGCCAAAAGATTTACCTAGAGAAGCCTCTGGACTTAGAAGATCTAATTCCACTTCGTGTCCACGTGAGCAGCAGACCCCAGTACCGCTGCCTCACGTTTCCACACACGCCTCCACGCCCAAGCGTCCTCCTCTGGCTCAGGCTGGGAGGCCAGCCCTGGGCTTGCTGTCAGTGACAGTCAGCCCAGGGCTCCGGGGGACCTGGTGGGGCTCTCCTGCCACGGCAGGAACAGCAGCGCCGTGACCGTTAGTGCTGGCAATCAGCCCCCCTTCACCCGGTGCTCACACTCAGAACTGTTCACACCTTTCCAGGAAACAAAATAAGAAAGTCCACATATTAAAACAACACTGAGTTGTTCTACCACTGAGTTCTACCACTGAGCTACAACCCGGCCTGTTGTTTGTTATTTTAAAAGAAACAACTAATGTCTAACATAAAAATTATCTTCATTCTTACAATGGCTATAAATTTCTACCTTGTAGAATTGAAATTACTAAGAATGCAAAAGGATAGCAGTAAAATATGTTGTTTTAGACATTCACAGTTCAGAGCCTCAACTCTTGCATGGTTTTACTTGACATGTTTCATCACAAAACTTTCCCAAGTCTCTAACTTACAGACACTCCTGTAGCCTTTCTTAGGGGAGAGAATTAAAGAAAATGGGGCACTGCAGAAAACAAACACACCTGATCAGACTGCAGCCAACAGCTGTTGCTGGTTTTTTTGTTGTTTTTTTTTAATTAAAAATTTTTTTTAAAACTTTCTTCTGAGTGGTCATTCTGAAAGTTAGCAGTTTTGTGAATCTTTGTTTCTGACAATAAGCAGCAGATAATACGGCAGTCTCAACTACCATCTGCAAAGCACAATCCAGCTAAAAATACTCCATTAAATACTTTAATTTCTGAGGACATAAAATAATAAACTGTTTTTCCAACACAGACAAAAATTCCAAAATAAATTATAACTATGTGACTACAACATAATATTAAAAGAAAAAGGCCCTTTTTTTGGTGGGTACCCAAATAATTCCTCTTCTGTATGCAGCAACACAAAAGCATTTTAGCTTTCAGGTTCTGACAAATAGTGTTGAAATAACTCCCTCCCTTCCCCGCCTCTCCTTTCTTAATTCTCCCACAGTCCAAAAAATGAGATGGAGAACCTGGTATTTATCTTCCAGCAACATCAGCACATTTCACACGAACTCTCTGATTTCCATGTGGTTCTTTATTTGCTATTTTCAAGTTAACTTGGAGCTTTACGAAAAATACTCACTCTCAGAAACAAGCCTCACATATGTGGTTTCTCTTCATCAGACCTGCCTAGAGCTAATTTGAAGGCAACTGGCAGAGGGGAATTAAACCCCTGAAGGATACCAACAAAAGGTATGGAAAAAGAGAAGTTTCTAGAATGTTTAGAGACTGAAGTACAGATTGTCAGGTATTTAATTTGAATTACAAGCTATAAATCTGTTTTTAAGTATTATTTTTAATATGAATAAATGTTGCTGGAAAACTGACTTTCCATTTTTATGAAACCTACTAGAAACTTTCTTGTAATGAACAAGTCACGAACGGAATATACGTAGGTTGTGTCTGTGTGTGATCAGTGTTCTCTATAGACTGTTTGTACATGCCGCCCTTTTGCTTGTGATTATAGTCACAGTATTTTGCTACCACAGCCACTGCAACAAAGTATGTCTTTATTCTCTACAGGACAGATTTGGGAGCATAGGCCACGAACCCTTTTATGCTTAAAGCCAAAGAGAGGGGAAAAAAATCTCAGCAATACAGTTTAAATGCCAGTAATTGGGAATACAAGGAACAGAATAGTGATCTTTATTTTGGTCACGGTTTGGTTCTAGCTGGTTGGCTCAACACAGATTGATCAATGTGTAAAGGTTATCTGACCCAAGAATGGAAGAAGCAAGTAAGCAGATCTCAGGGACCTCCTCGGCCATTTCACCACTGGAGAAACCCCAGGCTGAACATGGTCTGGGAAAGCAGTAATTTAGCACATTAGCCAGGCTCTGAAATGCTAAAATCCAGACTTGAAAACAGTTATTATAAAACTGCAAACATGTGCTTAGTTTTTCCTCTAGAATGTTAACTTTTGTTCTATTTTGGTCTCAGTTAAGGAGAGAAATTTGGAAAACAGAAAAAAAAAAAAAAATGAAATGCCTAATAGCAGGCAAATCCTAAACACATGTTTAGAGATAAGTCTGACTTCAGGATTTACAATCCAACTGAAATCCTCTTCTAAAATTACAGGATTAGTATTTCAAGATTATGTACAAAAATACAACAACTCAATCCAGGCCAACTTAACATCTTAGAGAACTGATGTTTATAATCACAGAAAGTCGGGGCTCTCAGTGGGTGGGGCCTAGCACTGACTGCAGACACCTCATAGCCAGACCCAGGTTTCCTGGTGAGTCACGTGAGGCCGAGCCACTTGTCCCTTTAGGACCCTATGGAGTCCTTCTGTTTCTGTCCTAGTGGGAAAGGGAACGGGTGAGACAGTTAATGATGGTTTTTGTCCCCAGATATGGCATTTTCCCACTTTCCGTGGGGAACCCCACAAAAGGAGTTTCACAGAAGAACGACCTGTGGCAAAGGGGAGGAGAGGTGCGGGATGAGGGGCAGGGGAGGTGCCAGGTGGGGAAGACTGCATGGCCTGGGGGGTTTTCTGGCTGAACACCCCAGTGGCATCAAATAATGATGCTCAAGATTACAGCTGAGGTTTCTTTCTGTTCCAAGATTCTACAAAAATAAGTTAAATCAGCTAAGGAAGGTTAGAGGAAAAAGCAAAAAGATCCAAATGTTTTTAAACATTAATGGTCACATCATATAAAGTAAATAAAAACACTAAGGTCAATTATAAACCATTGAGTACTTTCTGTGATTCTACTATTCTAAGCCCTTAAAATCTATCAATGTATTTAATCCTTTGACATAGGTACTAGGATTCTCCCCATTTTCCAGAAGAGGATACTGAGGTTCAGAGAAGTGATCTGGGCTGTTTGGATTCAAAAACCCAGGCTGCCTTTGGTGAAGTATCTGTGAATCACAACAGAGCCCCTGTAGCATATTATTCAAAATTAATTCTTAAAGACATAAATAATAATAAATAAAAAGCCAGTATTGCACTATTTCAGGAACCTTACATTTCTCTCAAAGACAGTAAGTACAGCCAGATGGATGGTCCCAACTAGAAGGCTCTCACGTTCTCATAAGCAAAACACTGGCTTGCCTGATCCGGTTTCTGGTTCCAGGGACCTGAAGGAGAGCAAGCACCAGTCCACTAAGGACTGTGCAATGGATGGGAGCCAGAATAAGGGAGCACTGGGCCAGGACCCTGACCCCCCACTGCTTTCCTTTCCACCTTAAATTCTGAAAACTTCTCTAGTATATATTCATAAGTCATGTTAAAGAAGTTTATTTCCTTATTATCTATACCATTCTTTTAAAAAGTCCATCATAGCCAACGTCCAAGACCTGGCGACTGTAGAGAGCAGGAATCTGAAGGGCCTGAGCTTCCTCATGGCCCGTGTCTGCACACAGGCATCTTCAGCACACTCTGGGTTCCCAGGAGCAGACAGCTCCTTGCTTCCTGCATGCACTGAGCACGGCCACAACAGCACGCAGCAGCACCGCACGCAGCCTTGCTGGCCTGCGGCGAGCATCCCTTCTGGCTGCAGCTCCTGGTCCACCGGGGTGGGTGCTCGTGCGGGGCATGCGGTGCCATGCCACTCGGACACCTCTGGCTCCTGCTCCAAAGGGAAGCTTCTTGTTCACTGACTCTTTCTTCCCCTCACCCTGCCTGTCTTCTTTCCCAGCTCTGGTTCTCTGGTTCTCCACTGCCCAGTTCTGACACAGCACCATCAGAACTAAGCATCGGCTCTCCAGGGGGACAGACACAGGAGCGACATCATGGCCTCGGCGGGCCTCCAGCTCCTGGCTTTCATCCTGGCCCTATCTGGGGTCTCTGGAGTGCTCACGGCCACTCTGCTGCCCAACTGGAAGGTGAAGGTGGACGCGGGCACCACCATCGTGACGGCCATCGTGCAGCTGCAGGGGCTGTGGATGGACTGCACGTGGTACAGCACAGGGATGTTCAGCTGCACCCTGAAGCACTCCCTCCTGTCCCTCCCCACCCACGTGCAGGCCGCCAGGGCCACGATGGTCCTGGCCTGTGTTCTGTCTGCCTTCGGGATCTGTACTTCCACTGTAGGAATGAAATGCACGCACTTAGGAAGGGACAGAGAGACCAAGAGCCACGCGGCCTTTGCTGGAGGGGTCTGCCTTGTGTCTGCAGGGGTCTCTGGTTTGATACCAACGGTGTGGTACACGAAGAACATCATAGCCAACTTCCGGGATCTGGCGGTTCCCGAGGGCAACAAACACGAACCTGGAGGGGCTCTCTACATTGGATTCATTTCAGCGGTGCTGCTCTTTATTTCTGGCATTATTTTCTGCACTTCTTATATAAAAAAGAACCCTGAAGCGTGGCCCTCCCCGCCCAGGCAGGAGCCCTCCCCTCCCACACAGCCGGAGAACAATCCAGCCTACAGCCTGAAGGACTATGTGTAGAGAGCTGTGCCGCACCCTCGCAGCAAGGCTTCTGGCGCCGGCTAGGACTGCACTGTAGACACAAAAACATCAGACCCGTGCTTACCTTTCTCTACCTAAAAACTACAAGTACTTTAAAGTGCCAACTAACTAGCACACACAATTATATCTGTCTCAAGATTTCTTTATATTTTTTTAATCATTGTTTTCATATTTAAGGGTTTATAATTAGAATCGATTCTGACTGCATTAAGTAAGGCAATTAACTGACAGTGTGTTGTTTTTTTAAAGATGACTTACTGACACCTCTTCTAAACTGGATTCTACAAAAGAACTTAACTGACAGCTCTAACAAGCACCTTCCACGATGTTAAGACTACCTCCTTGGGCAATGCTTGAGGAACCTGCTTGTTTTAAAGCCACAGGGGTGAAAGGGCCTCTGGGAAGAAGAGCTGCCCAAACCGCACAGGGCCAGCCTGCCCTCCGCTCTGGTTTTCTCCTACGGAGCCACCCCCAGGCACCGGGTCTGAGCACAGCACAGCACCGCAGGCGAGCAGGATGAAGGGAACCGGCAAGCACTGTCACAGCGGAGACGCACCGGCCCCGGGCTGATGGAGCAGTAAGCCCAAGTCAAGAGATAGTCTGTCTTAAAATGCTGAGGAACTCTCTTCTGCTTCTAGCAAAAGGATCCTCAGATTAAGTTCATTTTTCCTACAACAACTGAGACTCACCGCCCCATTTAATCTACTACCATTTGAACGGTAAGTTATTCCAGGTTGTCATTTTCCTTCAAATTTGATTCAAGTTAACAAAAGTTCTCTTATAAATGTGCAGTTTCCATTAGTTAATGGATGTGAAAAAAGTTGAAACACGAAGACTGCTTTTAAAATACGGGTTAAATTAGTTTATGATGTATAATTTAAAACTTTTAATAAGAGAATATCAACTGGATTTTCCATAGCTGCAAGGACAGCACTGCATGCTGTCACTTCTAATAATTCACTTGTTAATCTATGCTACTAATTGTTCATAATACAACGGGAAAAATAAAAAAATGACTTTCTTTGTATACTGATAACTCAGCAAGTGGGAAGACGTTTTATGTCAATAAATAATTTTCATGTGTGCATGCAGAAATAGAGACTAAAATACTTTACACCTGTTCTACTTGGAACATCATCATTTTCCTCTGCAAAGGAGATTCCATTAGCTATTAATGGAACAGCAAAAATGAAAAGGTACTATTCATATAAGAACTAAGAAGGGAATCATTTCAGCAGAAGTTCAAATGATTGTTTAAAATACGTCTTTTTTGGAACCCCCCCACCCCCCGACACAATCAGTTGGTGTGTGGTACTAACAAGGTCTGTATTCCAGTGGTCAAAATGTTATTTCCTAAACAAAACAAAATGTCATATTAAAAAGAACTGACCAAAAAAACGTTCTAAGACTGCACTGCCACCTATATGATTGTCTCGCCTTGCTTAACGTGTCTGTGTTGATACAGTCTACACAGCCTATTAGAGTCCACTTCATGTATATTGATGTACTTCTGTACCTGCTTCAAAGATGACCTTTATTCCCGTCAGGAATGTTTCTCCCCACCTGTGCCTTGGCATGATTCAGACTCTCGGAGAGATGGCACTTCAGACAAGATGAAGGCCAGATTCCTGTGCACTGCAAGTGGCCATGAGGAAGGATGACGCCACAGCCATCCCCAGCTGGGCTGCGTTCTTCCCTCTGCCCAGGACCTCAGAAATTGCCGTTTAAACGAGTTATGAGTTTACACAACAGTGTCTCCAACCAGAATGGGAGTCGAGGTACTGTTTCCACGTCTGTGTCTTCAGTGAAGTGCCACTCCCAGTGCCACATGCCAGTCCTGTCCTACATCTCTGCATACACTGGCTGGTTTGCCTCCTAACACTACCAGCTTACAGGAACTGAGGCTGGAAGAGCTTAGGTCAGTTACCTGACCTGCCCAAGGCCACCAGCTGATAAAAAGGGACATGGACTCAGCCCAAGGGACCAGACTGCAGAGTTAAATGCCTGGGTGTGAACCCTAAAAGCTACACAGTGCCCCCACCCGAGTCTCAGTCTCCTGTGAAAGTGGGGACGGAGACAGCCCCTGCACACAGAGCTGGCTGAGCACAGACGCAGTACAGGTCTCACTCTAACAGCGGATTTCAGTGGGGCAAATTCAGACAGTGCCTGGAAACATTCTGGGCTCTCACAACTGAGGTGCTGCTACTGGACTCCAGTGGGAAGAGACCAGGGAGGCCACCAAATAGCCTACAGTGCAGAGGACAAACCCTGTGACACAGAATCATCTAGCTCCAAATGCAGGCAGTTCTGAGGTTGAAAAACTTTGGTCTAATATATTGAATACATTTAAATATGTGTTTTTTCTTTGACTAAAAAGTTACCAAAATAAAAGGTAAAATGGTGAAAACACCCCCCCTGAATACCATGCTAGGATTTACCTGTGGAACGCGTATGCATGTATATATGTATGTATGTATGTAGTTTGTCCTGAAGGGTTCTTATGCTGAAGCTTGGTCTCCAGGGAGGTGGTGCACCTTTAAAAGGTGGAGCCTAGTGCAAAGTAATTAAGTCTTGGGGGTTCCTCCCTTAAGAGTAAATTAACGCTGGTCTCACAGAGTGGGTTAGTTCTCACGAGAGTGACGTAGCAGAGAGTGAGACCACCCTACACGCTCGCCTCCTCTACACACAGTTAAATGATAAACACTTAAATTATGCCAGGAGAACTGGGAAGACCATTAGGATGGTGTGAGAGAAACGTAGGTGATGTCAGCGTTGGTGACAACCGATCAACTACGAGAGTAAAGTAACTGGCGGTGGGGTGGCACTTAAAATGACCTCTAATCTAGGCTTGCGTGACCTGGGCACATGAAGAGGTCACGAGTCAGTGCTATGGTTTGGCTCCTGGACACTCCTCTAAGGTCCAGGTGTGAGGGTTTGGTCCCTGGGGGCTGCTATCAGGAGGCGGTGGGACTTCAGGAGGGGGACATGGGAGGTGCGCTTAGGACACTGGTTTGGTCTGCCATGTACACCTGCTATGATGTGTTGCCTCCTCAGAGTCTCAAAGTAATGCCACCTTGGTCTTGAACTGGAAAACTGTGAGCCGAAACAAACCTTTTCTCTTCAAAAGTTAATTATTTCAAGTACTTCATGAATTTCATGCAGTGATGGAAGACGGATTAATATAGTCAGCATACTGACTATGAGGAGGAGGAGGCCGGGGCAAAAAGAGGTGATTTCAGTGTGTGACATGGACAGTGTTTCCTCAGGATGTCTCCTTCATCACTGTGTCGGTAGCTCTACACAGTCTATACTCTATACTCAGCTGACACTAACTTCATTTTCTTTTTTTCCCTTCTCCCCAATCATCTCATTTATATATAGAGAGAAATATTATATGAAAGAGATAAATTATATGGTTATCTCAATGGATACAGGCAGAGCACTTGGTACAATTCAGTATCTACTCTAAGGATTTATTTTTAAGGATTTAAATCATAGCCCATAATTCTCCAAAACACTGTTGCATACATTGTGATTATCTCTAAGAAATTTTGCTTTCATCTCATTTCATTTTATACATATAGAGCCACGTGCTTTCAAAAAGAATTTGAGGCAACTTAATAATAACTGCAGCATGATAAATATAAAACACTGAGAAAAGACTAAAGTTACAAAGAAAGAGAAAAAAATGATCTGAAATAATCCTGGTTGAAGCATGCTAAAGTACTTGAATATAAAACTTAGTTTAAAATTTCTACAAAACCTATGCAAATAAGGCCATGAAAGTTTCTTAGGGCACTGTCTGTTGGTAGGAACCTCCACAGGATACTGCCGGAGCCTGCCCAAGTTCTGTTCACTGGGCTGGAGCACCATCCCCAGCTCCCCCCAGTGCTCACAGATCTGGAGCCACCTCTGCTCAGAGGGCACTGCACCCCCACTTGCAGCATGTGGCCCCCAGCCCAGGCCTAACTGCACAGGAGACAACTCTGGGGGGCAATCTGTGCTCAAGAGGGCTCCTCTCCCCCATGGGAGCAGTGAAGAATTATTTCAAAATCTGAATTCCGACCGTTTGGTTGTTTTCCTTTATCATAATATATCTTATGTCCTCCTAGATAAGTGTTTTCCTAGATCACAAATGAATCCCCTGCATGTAATATTTACAACATAATGAAAAACATGTGAGAGAAGTGCCATATGTTTAATTTGAAACAAACAAAAAAACAAACAAGAATTCAGTAAAAAGAGAATCAAAGACATAGCTAGTTTTTCCCAAAAACATAAATATTTTCTTGAGGGTTAATCACAAAGGAAAGAAATTTTAAAAACAAACTATATACCTACTAATAATTTCTAAACACCATAAAACATTTGGGTAACTAAAACTAAGAGAAACTTTCCAACAAAATATTCTACATCCATCCTGAAAAATCCTTGGTAAAATTTAGTCTGTCTAGGATTCTGGTTTATGATAATAACCATAACTACAAAAGCCTTTAAGCCAAGATTTTGGTTTCATCAAAGAATGGGTTTTAGGCCACTCAGAATGCTTGAAGCACACACGTGACAAGAAGAAAGCCAAGTATTTGGTTACTGGACCCTTTCATCATAATGGCCACCTGCCGCAGGAGAGAAAGCCCCTGAGAGCACCAGGGTGGTGATCTGGTGATACTCTACCCCCTCTCGTCTTATTCTGGAATAAGTCATCTACAGCGTCTTTGCAATCCTGCGGTGCAGAGGTGGAGGTGGGATGGCTAGTGAGTCTCCTGAGTTTGATTCAGGGAAAGCTGATGGGTCTGCTTCAGAAGTGGAAGATGGACTAGCTTCTTAGGCACCTGAAAGCTCAGCTAACTGTGGTGACGTCAAGAGGAAATGCAAAGGTGGCAGCAAAGCACATGGACACACTCCAAGATCCACAAATCGTTTTAACACTAAAGGCTGGAGCCCTCGTTCCAAATCTACAACCTGAACCTGCACCTAAATCTATAAAACCATACTGCACCAGGCAAGCGCTCTGCCACTGAGCCCTACCCCAGTCCCCATACACTTGTTATGCTATCTACTTTTATTTATGGAGCTCCAACTATGTAAAGACCACTCTACAAAATATTTATATTTAAGAATTTTAGTTACCACCAAGAGATTTCTACCCTTTATCAGACTGTGAACTTCCCGAAAGAAGCTCTGTATCTGATTTGTCTCTGGTCTCCTCACTGATGTTGCATCCCCAGCCCAGCTTCTTTCAAGCAGTAGGCACCCAATTTACATTCAGTGAAGAAATACATAGATTTTATACTACATGTCCTACAGTAATTCACTGAACAGTGGTTTTGCCAAAACAGGCACTAGCTTTTTAATTATTGGCAAAGAAACTTTGTTTCTGTAATTAAAACTTACTCATATAACTAGCATGGAATAGTCGAAGCCTAAATTAACATTCAAATGATTTTCCACAGATGATTTATTACAAGTAACACTGCCAAAGACGTGTAAAAAAAATCATGATGAATAAATAATGTCTGATGTAGCATTAGTTAGAATCTCTTCTCAGAAACCACAAACAACACTTGATTCCTTTTCCCAAGGACTCGGATGCCTCTGGGAGTAGGAAGGGTGACGAGATGGTGAATACTAGTAATCAGTCACCCTATCTAAGGGAGAAAAAGATCAGTGTAAGAATTATTTGTATATTTTTTGTGGTTTTTATTCAAAAGAAATAAACTATGCCATAGTTTGCTATAAATAAATATTAGATCCTAGAGACTATTTCCTATGACACACTACAGGGAAATAAAAATTATAATGAAGATCAAATTATGATAAACTAAATTATGATCATACGCAGAAACTCACCTCTGGCTTGGGGACAAAAGCCTGGCCTGGAATCGTAAAGATGTGCTCCACGCTGCAGAGGTACTGGGCCATGATGGAAAGGCGGCTGCGCTGTTTGCTTCCTTTTGTGGCTGTGAGTCTCTACAGAAGAACAAAAAATGATTTTAGTGAATAATAAATCCAGTCTGACCAAAAATAACAGAGCTAACATCCCACTGTATCTGATGTTGGACTTCTGGAGGTAAATTATAAAAGCATGGCACGTAGCCAATAGGAGGAACAGTTTCTTCCAACATCACCATCAACAGATGCACACCTCATTCATGTGATTATACCTTATACGGTCTGTGTCATGCGTAATGCACTGAAAAATCAGGGAAGAAATCTTCCCTACCACTGACTGCTGGGGATTTTCAAGCCACTGTCACATTCTATAGAAGGTGGTCCAGCTTTATAGAACAACTAATACTTGATGATGAAGTTAGCAAGCATAATAAAAAAAACAAAGATGCTCAAATACTAAATTTCCTGAATTATCCCAATATATGAATGAACATTTTGAAATACCCCAACACAAGAATGAACATTTTAACAGTGTGCTTTTCTTTGCTGAAGAACTGACTATTCTTGACAAATAATGTCTGTAAATAACTAATAATTTATTCTTTTAAGTACCTATTTTTATTTTGAAATGTATTAGTTATAATCAAATTAATTAATAAGTGCAATAAAATTTTAGTTAAAATTGCAGGATTAAAAAAAACTTTGATTTCCATGTACCAAAAAAATTCGCATACATTTTTAAGTTAAATTCCATATATATAAGGCCAAGAATGACCAAGACACTTCTGAAGAGTACCAGCAATGTTGATAAGGGAATTCACCCTACCAAGTGTGAAAATTATAGCAGTATGCCATAGGCACAAACCCAAGATTTGGAGAGCTGATAGTGATAGATGTGATACAGAACTGCTAACGGGAAAAGGGATGGACCATTCAACGGAGATATGGGTATAACTAGATATCTACAGGAGGAAAAAGTATGACCCTCCATAGTAGGGAAGAATATCTTAAATATGCAAAAGCAGAAGCTCATTAAAATGAATGTCTGTACGATAAAAACCTATGAAGACAAATTTCAGCCTGAGAGAAGGTATTTGCAGGACTAAAGGATCTGTGTTTGGAATGCAGAAGGAATGCCTGCATGACAGGCATTAATAATCCTAAGATAAACAACAGAAAATATGGTAAGACAGATCACAGACGAGAAACCCTCAGGGGCTGAACCATGAACTGTGCTCAGCCACTTTACAGATCAAAACCACAATGAGATGTTGTTTCATATTCACGAAACGAACAAAACATTTTTAAAAAAGCCTGCCAGAACCTAGCATTGGCAAGTACACAGAACTACAGGAACGCTCGAGCATGCTAGCAAGGGAGCAGGGAATCAGCACAAGCACTCCAGAGCACGATCTGGCAACGTGTAGTAAAGTGGAAGTTATACAAACCCTCACGACCCTTTAGTTGTGTCTCTGCAAATACACCTTAGAATGGTTTATGTGCTTGCACAAGATGTGTATATGAATGTTAATTGTAGTGTTACTGCATTATTAAAAAAAGCAGAAAAACATTAGTTCATCAAGAGGTGAATGAATAAATTGTAGTACTTTTGTGAATGAAATAAGAAATAATAATTAAAATGAATGAGGGGTCATCAATGTAGGTTAAATCTCAAACCAGTAAAAAATGAAAGTGGCAGAAAATAAGTCTAGTGTGACATTTATATAAGAAGACACTGTTGTTTGCATTGGTGTCCTGAGCTGACCTGTTCTAACAGCCCGGTTTACTCTGCTGCTGACCTGAGACCCACACAGTCTGGCTGGTTGGAGTTCTGCCTTAAGATCAGAAACTAGGCTCTGCATGAGATGCTGAGGAATCTTCTCACGAGCAAACCTGGAGATTCTGTCACATCTGTTTTGATAATCAGAAGTCATCCCCATCTCACCCCATTTCTTAAATTTTAAATATCCGGTTCTTGTCTATATTTAAGACAACTGAAATTACTGGGAAGCTGAGTTCAAGGGTTCAAGGTGATAAGTTGCTCTAAGATACAAGACAAAATCCTTCCTCATCAAAGTGTAAAACCAAGAAATGCATATATTCTCAAGCAAATATAAAAACAAACCACCATACAGATTTCAGTTAAAGAATAAGCTTCTGAATCAAATGACTGAAAACATTTCTAGTTCTCCATGAAGGAAAAAAAAAATGTTTTACTACCAGAATACAGGTGGAAAATGCAAAATGCATTATAATTAACATCCAACTCACACAACTCAAGGCAGACCTTTATAATAAAATCTAGTATGAACATAATCACAATATTAAAAAATGAACCAAAATAAATGCCCACATTTTAAAAATTATTATTTTATTCTGGATTTCTTTACCCCCTCACAGCTAATATTTTACTTTATGTTTGAAAGGTATGCATCAAGTGATGAATTCAAGAGAATTTAAAAATAACTTTAACTAAAAAAGGAAAACTGTAAGACATGAAAATTATTCTAATTTCATGTAAAAGCACATTTAAGTATATTCACTTAGAAAACTAAGCATACAGTGTAACCAGGAGGGGGTGTCTTAACCCTCTAGCTTGACCCATTCAATCTCTAGCAAATATCCCTGGGTGGTGGAGGTGAAAACATGTGAACCACAGACTTTAATTTGGAATAGAGCAGCACATATAACTGTCCCTAACTCATAAGGTAAAAATTCAAGTCACAGGCTGGAAAGCCCTGTAAAAGACTTCATTAAAAACTAGCCTAAGAGTTAAATGGCCAACCAACCATTTGAATGTACAGCACCATCAAAATCCATTAGGAGTTACATGATTTAACAACAAAAGGCCAGGAAGCCAAACCAGCTGAGTTTTTAAGTAAAAAGCAATTGCTAACCCTTGAGCTCTGAAAAGCACTCTGAGTATGAGAAAACATGGGGTCAAAGACTTCCCAAAGACAGTGCTGCTTTTCCTCTTATTCATCTCAAACAATTTTAAGTACAAGTAGAAAAGTTGTGCTTACAGTTGAGAAGCCACACAGCCGCCCATCAGGGACAATGACAGCCACATAGTCAGTGGCAGGAGAGGCCCTCCTGCTAAGAATGTACCCATCAAGACAGTGTCTCCTGGGCATGAGAGAGAACAGACAGGCTGATGCTGGTCCAGTTAGGAAAAACCTCAGGACCAACCACACGGAGGAGTTAAACCTTGTGACTTCATTAAGCCAGACTGAGCCTCCGTTTTCTCAACTACAAGGTGAGGTTAGATGAGGTCTGTTAAGGTCTCTTTTAGTGTTACACAGTCTGATTCTGTTTTATGAGCTGTAATGTAATATTCTCTGTCGCTTCACGCGTACTGGCTGAATTCTTGTATTTTAATCCTATAGTCCTGGAGAAAGAAATAAGAGTATGGTGTACATTTCTGGTTTTTTATTTCACAAAGCCAAAGTCAATGTTAAAAAATGTTTTCTGTGGCTAAAATACAACACAATGTTGCTAGTGTCCCACTGAAACTTTCTCACAAAAGATGTGAAAATCACTACACTTCTGATATACTCCATAAATTGTAGACTCGATAACAACTCTCCTCAGTATTATGCTCAAATTTAACTAAAATCAACCTTTATTTGATAAAGAAAACTGATGGCCTTTGGTGACACGGAAGCAACACTTACTAACCATGGCTGACAATGAGTTACCTCTTAAGCCTCTGGCCCTGCTCTTCCCTGGGAAAGAAATGGAGTGCATGAATGAAATATCACAATAATCATGTCACCCACTGTGGAGTATTAAGAAACAGACTTGGTCTTTCTCCTGATGGCTGGCAGTCTCCTGGGGAGAGGGTGTCTTGTTATTCATCACATCTGAGTTTATACTAAGGAGATCACATGGTGGGTGAGGGGAGAGGGAGCCCCCAGAAGGGGCTGGCTGGTCACCAGAAAGACCAACTGATGACGCATTACTTAAACCAGAGATGAAGGGGTTCCCCGAGTTCTGAGCCATTCTGACAAACCGTGGAAACTGATGAGGGGTCATAGCACCCCCCGTTTACAGCTGGCTGCTCAGAAGTTTTGGAGGCCCAGATTTGTGACTGGTGTCTGATGCACTTGCAGAACTGAGCCCTAAACCTGTGGATCTGACAATAACTACAGGTGGAGAGTCTCAGAATTTAATTAAATTATAGGACACCCAGCTGGTGTTTGGAAACCTGGAAAAATGCTTGGTGTGGGGAAAAAACACACACACACACATCTCATGTGAGAATGTTGTGAGTATAAACAGAGTGGTTTTTGTCAGAAATGACAGTTCCAACGGTTGAGAAAACAATGAAGGAAACTTCAAGCATAGGCCAGTTAAGACCAACAGAAGGTAAGATTCAGTAACAGGAAATGACAAGAACCGTGGGGAGCACTGACATCATCTTTGAGTTCCCATGAACACAAATGGGTCCTACATGTTTGTGATAAAAGCCCCACAACTATCGAGAAGATTTTATTAACGAATACTACAAACCAAGTGTTCTGGGACTTGGCTTACTGTTCTGGGCCTTGGCTTACTGGCATTTGGGGATGATTGATGCTGGGCCAGTCCTTGCTGTGAGGGGCTTTCCTGGACCCTGAAGGATGTTTACCAGCATCTCTAAGCTCTGCCAACAGGAACCTGAAGCATCCTCTGGCTGTGACAACCAAAAATGTCTGTAGAGATTGCCAAATGTCCCCAAGAGGTAGTGGGACAAAAGTTTCCCCACTAGGGATGATTATAAGAAGGGACATAGGTGGAGAGAGAGATGGATTTGAGAAATCAAATTCTTACAACACACTCAAATGATCTGAGAGAGAAGAATCTTAAGAATCAAACTCATGTAGTCACACAGCCTACTCTCAAAGGAATTCTGATAATAAGTTTTGTTCCAAAATGACTATAAAGCTGAATAAAATACAGGAAACGTTTTTCACAAACTGAATAGACACTGCAGGTCTGTGATCTGAGGAAGGGAAGGAGGTAAGCCAAGACTCTCCCTGGCTACCGAGGCCCTGCCCTGCACAGGCTGTGGCTCAGGCAGAGGAGGGCTGTACCTGGGCCCAGTTACCTTTCACCTGGGGAGACAGGATGGAGGTCAGAGAGGCCTGGATAGGGAGAATTCATTCATTCATTCATTCATTCATTCTCATTCCCTCCCCGTCTCTGCTGTCTGTCTCTCTCTCACACAGAGTGAAAAAGAGGAGGTAAGGGGGGAGCCAGAGTTCCCATACGCTGAAGGTCCCCTCAAGCCTCAGGACCCCTGATCTGCCTAAGGACTGGGGAAAGAACCCCGAGAGCCGTGGAGCTCACACAGGGCGAGGAATGGCTTGTGCTCCCCTCAGCTAAAGGCAGAGAGGCTCTGTCCCCAGCACCACACAAACAAAACAAAAAATAGTAATTTTACATATTAGTCATGAATAAAAATGCCACGGAAAAGATGACCACAGTGAAGAGAGAAAGATACAAAAAGGCCCAAATGGAACTTTTGGAGATAAAAATACAATATTTTAAGTAAAAATTCCATTAAATAGCATCAAAGATGAATGCTGCAGCAGAGAGTGGTGAATGTGAAGAGGCAGTAACCAGAATTTTTATGCAAGGTAAATTACTAAAATTTCTTTTCTTCATAACAAGTAACCAAATATTCCCAGAATGACTAATTCCTTTCTTCACTGTTGACTTTTTATCTGGCCACGAACATACACCAAGTTGTTGATTCTGAATATTATGATGCAGCCAATGACCGGTTCTGCGCCGTGTCACACCGCTCTGAACATTCAAGTCTTACCTTGAACTTCAACACTTGAAATGAGATTATGAGATTCTTTTCTCTTTGTTTCTCCCTCTCAACATTTCTTTTGTATTCTTACAGGTCTCCTCAAGATGGTCCTGGGAAATTCACTACATTTCAAGATAAATTCCCTAAGGATTATAAGTGTATTAGATATACAAAGTTTTCTGGAAATGATCAGCAACTTTACAGTAATCATTTTTCCTTCCAGGGGTATGAAACATTTTTTAAGTGAAATTCTGAGACTCTTAGTAAAGACTCATGGTTATTTTTTCAGATCTTGCTTTTCTTCTTAGGTTTTCAAAGTAATTTGTTATCTCCAATTAATATTTTGTTTACTTCTTATTTCAATAAAAATCTCTTTGATTTGCTTTACTCTCTGATGGATTAAGTTATCTATCACTAATTCAGTCCTAAACTTTTGTGTAACTATTCTTTTAGTAAGCGCAAAAATGATAGATACTTGTTAATATGGCTAATGGGGTGAATTGGGATCCACATGTTATAAATAGTAAAATTATTTCTAATTCAACCTTACAAAAAAATCAACCCCAAGTGGATAGAAATGTAAAGGAAACAAAAAGCTCCTAGAAGATAACAGAAAGGTGTCTCCACATTCTCTAGATATAAAAGGATTTCTTCAACAAAACACAAAAAGCACTGATTATAAACTTAAGAAAATCCAATCTTCAAAAGACATTGTAAAAAATACAACGACAAAACTCCATCCATCAGGAGAAATTTGCAACACATTTAATAATGTAAGAACTCCTCTGAATCAATAAGAAAAGACAAGCAGCCCAAAGAAAGGTGAGCAAGCAGCTCACAGAAGATCCTCAAGTAACCTAAAAGGCCAGGAAACATAAAATGGTGCTCAAGTTAAAAAAAAAAAAAAAAAAAATTAACAGACCAAATAAAACACCACGACACACCATCATCCTCAGATTAAGAAAATGCACAGATCTGTCAATACCAAGTACTGGCAAGAAGTGGAACAAAATGAACTCTCTGCGGATGGCATTGCAACAAGCGTTCTCCTGAGCACCACCCAGCAGAGCAAAGACCTACAGTTCCACTTTACAGCACATACCCCAGGGAAACCTTGCCCTTGTATGACAATGTTCATGATAGTTTTGTTTGTAATAATAAAACACTGAAACTAATTATAGAAAGCTCAAAAATGGCTCAAGATAAAGGCTATTACCTATATGGACAAGTCTATGTGATAAGACCATGGAGAGGAGTAATAAATCCAAAAGTCATAGCACTGGTTATCTTGGTGGTGGGAGTGGAGAAGAGAGGCAATCAGAGTGAGCCTACTCACAGTGTGCAGGCCCCCCTTAAACCTCTGCAGCTTGAATGCTGCCCTTTCCATCCTGAATGAAGGGGCCCTGCCTGCCTTGGGGATGCAAGCACAGCAGCCCAGCTGAGCTGGGGGTGGAGACAGTGCGCGTGCTAGATAATGAGGGCTTCAACCCCTGCCCTTCTCAGCAACAAGCTGATGATGACATTCTTCTTCATCCTAAGAGTACAAAGGACAAATCTATGCTGTCACAGGCCAGTCTCCACATGTGAACACACAGGCAATATGTTCATCCTTCTCTGCTCGTGGCTGTGGCCCTCCCGGCCCTGCACTGACCACAAGGCCTTCCTGGTGGACACACATCAGTCATGCTCTCCGGGAAGCTCCCAGCAGGTGTCAGTCATCCCATTACATGTTTAATGTTTGGCTGAACCATTGTTGGGTTTTTCTGTGTACAATGGAGCATTAAGCTAGAATACACAGGTAAAAATGCATTATCGTTTGGGATTTTGATCATTTAATAACCAGAAAAAGTTAAGCCACACAGTTAATGCTTACCTCAGCCACTTCCTTTTGAAAAGTCAAAGTCATCTGAGTTCTGCCATAAGTAAAAGGTCCATCTCTACAAGAAACGTTTTCAAGCCATTTGATAATCAGTGGTGTTGAAACATTAAAAGGCAGATTTCCAATTATATGTATATTGGGGGGATCTGTTTGACAAGGAAAAAAAAATAACTTGTAATAATTTCATCAATAAATTCTGAATACCATTTTAATTAAGAGTAAAATCAAACTGGATATTAATAGCATCAAACACAAGTATCTGAAAAGATAATGACTGAATATTGTTTGGTCCATTGATTCTTCAACATTTTTTCACAAAGTATTCACAAAGGACTCTACTTAATTAGTGCCAGTCAGGTAGTGACAGTGCTAGGAATTCTGACTTAGAAAATGAATTAAAGGGCTGGGGATGTGGCTCAAGCGGTAGCGCGCTCGCCTGGCATGCGTGCGGCCCGGGTTCGATCCTCAGCACCGCATACAAACAAAGATGTTGTGTCCGCCGAGAACTAAAACAAAAATAAATAAATATTAAAAAAAAAAAAGAAAATGAATTAAAAACGAGTTGAACATGATGAAGTTAAAGCACCTCTGGGGTGGCCAGGGGCTCAGATGCCCTGGAAGGTGATACAGGCTGGGTATAAAGATGTGAGTGCCAAAAATATTTTGGTAGGAAGTAAAGCCACAGAAGTGGAGCAATCCAGACAAATCTGTAGCAAGAAGACATGCTCAGAAAGAAAAACAGCAAAAACAACACATAAGAACTCAATGGAAAGAAACCACTGGCAAAGAGTTGTTAGAGAAAGTTCACAAATGTCAAATAAACAACAGGAGGGTATTGGCGTCAGGGAAGATGAGAGAGAGAGAGAGAGAGAGAGAGAGAGAGAGAGAGAAGGGGAAGGGAGGGGAGGGGAGGGAAGATAGGGGAGGGAGGGGGAAGGGAACACACACAACGTGGACAACAGCAAAGGAATGCAGGAGGATGCAGTCAGAATAGGTCTGAGGGCAGGAGATCACTGTGAGCCTAGCTGGAGCCTGTCCAGGGATGGGGGCAGGTAGGAGGATCCAGGCAGTGCCCAAAGGTCTATCAGAGGATGGCACTGCAAACACAGACCACCCTGAAGGAGCCTGGCCCTGGGGAGGCAGCTAGATCATGATGTGTCAAAAACCGCTTCCATTTTTGTCAAAGGTTTTGATGAGCAAGAAATATACTCTATCTGTGTACTCTGAGGAGCTTGGCACACAGCAGATACCCAGTGAACACAGTCCATGAAAACAGAGTGCCCTGGTTAGAGTGTGAAAGAAAATGGAATAAAGTTAAAACCAAGGCTTGGGTGTGGCCTGCTTTACATTTCCTTTTTCACATTTAGAAAAAGTAATACTTTATAAGAGTTTATCCCATGTATATGGTATTGTAAAAATGACAAGTTTACTTGCACAGAATCTAAAACATTTGAAAATCTGAGACAAAGAAATTAGAACTAAGAAAAGGTTACTAGGTTTAAATTTTGGAAGAAAGAAGGAAAGTAAAAAAATGACAATGCACATTATTTAATTCTGTTCAGTAGTCTAAAATATAAACATGTAATAGTGAACCCTTATAGTAAAAGTATAATAAATACTTGTGATATAAATAATGACAAAAGAAAAATTTTAAAAAACATGCCCAAAGTACTTACCATCTTCCCAGTGTCTTTTAAGACTTTCTGGAAAAGCCTTTTCTATCTTAAAGGTCAACACATCTCCATGAACAATTCTCAGTTTTCCAGGCGCTGCATCAGAAAGCATCTAGTTTATAAGGTCAATAAAATGAGCTCACACACTCAGAGCAACAGAACTACAGCGTTTAAACCTGTGCATCATTACATCTGCTGGAAAAGCCAGAGACCCAGAGTGACGGTCCACAAACTGACAGAGTTTCTCTTCAACACAGGGGGGTTAGGGACAGTCACAGGTGACACAACAGCAGCTCAGGATTGCACACGTGGCACATGAGTGTAACTCTGGCCCTCAGAATGACTTCTACTTCTGTATAGAACTCAACATAAACTACACTCCTATCTCTAAGTCTTACAATTACTGACTAAGGACGTGATAATGAAATTCTGAGAATTAGGAATAAGAAAAATAAGCTTGAATCCAACTAAATCTTTATAGTCTAGATACCTACACAGAATTCTACACATTACCTAGATTTTTACCTTAATCTATGGGTAGATTCAAACTAAGTAGAAAGTCCCTAGTCAATGCCATGCCCCATTTGGCATTCTGAGACTACCCTCACCTAGCAGCCCTAGCCAGAACCTTTCTTGATTCACAGGCATTATCCACCTATGAACTGTCCTGGATATATCTGTCCTGTGTATATATAGTTCCATACTTGCTCTCTATCAGCCCCTTTCCACCTTCCAGTCATCATTTGCTTTTTTCCCCCTTTCCTTCAATTTTTTTTTTTTTTTTTGTGTGTGTGTGTGTGTGTGTGGCGGGGGGTGTACCATGGATTGAACTCAGGGGCACTCGACCAATTTTGTATTTTTTTAGAGATAGGGTCTCACTTTGCTGAGGTTGGCTTTGAATTTGCGATTTTCCTGCCTCCACCTCCTGAGTGGCTGGGATTACAGGTGTGTGCCACCACGCCCAGCCTTCCATCAGTCTCTTTAAGCAAAAAAGAAAACCAACAACAAAACATGGCTTCCTTTGTAATAGATCTCTTCTGAATTAATTTCATTCACTTTATTACCACACTCCCACAGTACATAATAAAAAGCTGGCACTTGGTTTGCAAAGGCCGTATGAATAAGCCAACTATAAATCTGTATTATGTGTCCCTGCGCCCAACATAAAACTTGATCCTCAGTAAAAAAGAAAGCATGCAGCTCCTAGCTTACAAAACTTAAAATGCCAGCGTGAACTTGCCAGATGAGACGTCACTCCAAAGCAGACTGCAAGGAAGAGGTGATCCTCCTCCTACAGCAAGTCTCAGCTCGGGGGGCCCAGAGAACCTTGGTCTAGCTCAGCTGCCGAAATTCTAGAACCTGTTGAGGGCTACACAGGGATGTTCAGTCAACAAGTCAAGGGGGACTCTGTCCTTCTTCTAGTTCCATAAGCTGACCTTCTCTCCTAATACCGTGTCCTCACCTATTTCAGGTAACTAACAGGAAGGATGAAGAGGTGTCAGAAGTTAGGAGTCAGGCAGCAGCCCTCCACTGTGCCTTGCCTGTGACCCTGAAGGCACTTAAGATCAGAGTTCATGTGCTTAGTCTCCTTCCTCGGCAACAGCATGAGCGCCTTAAGGCAGCACCTCTTTCCTATCTACTTGAGCAGCACTTGCAGCAGATGCTAATGCATATTGAATAAGGAATGAACACACGAATGATCAAACAGCATTCAGCTTCTTGGAAGCTGGCTCCCAAAATGTGGGGTCAAGAAACTTGCAAAGATTTACTTCACTAGTAAATGAGGTAGAATTATATAAATAATATTTCAGAATTACATAGCCGAAATGCTTATATAGTTAAGAGAATAAACATTTTAAGTTTGGAATCTTCTAGTTTTACTGGTTAACCACTGCAGTTTAGCAAACCTAACAGCATACCTTTGGTACTAACATACTTTGGGATTATTTTAAATTACCATGATTTGCTAAAACTTAACCTGATGGGTTTCAGCCGATAAATCTCAGAAAACATAATAACCACAATATACTAAAGAGCTAGCTCTTCATAGGACATGCTCTTACTGTATAAACACTGAGAATTTAATGACAGCACTGACCAAGATTAGAGAAAGCTAAAATTTCTCCATAACTATGTTTCACATAATTAAAACAAAACAAATTAGCATTTCAAAAACAAAGTGGCAAAACTAAAAGTTTATGTTACATAATGTTAATATACAGAAAGTAATTAAGTAATTTGTAATTAGGACTAAAAACAATGTAAATTCGACTGTTTGGTGTTAATTCATATGCTCTGACAGCCACACTTGAAACATTAACTTTTTCCACACTCAAACACAACTGCATACCAGAAAACTGACAAAGACACGAACCTACTTTCTTTTCCTAGGTTTAAAGTTTCATGTCTACTCTATTTCTTTTGAATTCCCAGTTAGGTTTAGGTCTCAGTCAATGACAAGCCAAATCCAATCTGTAAAAGGTCTACCCCCTCCTTGACAGCCCTGTGCTCCAGCTCCCTTTGTGACTCCCCACTGCAGAAGGAATGGATGCTGGTGTTTGCTGACTTCCCTGAAGACCTTGGGGCAATTCTGAGGGGAGAGTGAAATACAGACTAACTGATACTGCCATTACAGACAAAGCCTTCTACCCAGAAAGGACAGGGGACTCTGTAAACTAGTCACAGAGGAATGCTTTCACCACTGAAACACTGCTGAGGGGGATGTGGCAGGGCGGAAGGATCCCTGTTGCTGCCCTTCAACAACATGCCCAAGGTGTGACCACATAATGCGCCCAGAGGCACAGTCCATTGTGAGATCATAAGTGTGGGCACCTGATTTCAGCCAGGTGAGTATTCATAGATACTCTTAACCTGGTCCATCATTTAAATTTCCAAAATGAGATGGTCTTCAAGGAAAAGACTTTCATTAACTAGGACTACAAAATAAAGAGAAAACCAAACCATGAAAAGGAGAATGTATTTTTTTACATGTGTGCTAAGAATCCTATCGTTACAATTGTTAACACTCATGATTTGCATAATGAAATATATAAACCTTACTCTCTATTAGAAGTAATTAGACCTAGTCTCTAAGAGAGTCATTTTTCTTTTTTCTGAAACCAGGTTTGGTAAAGGGTACATGGAACAATATAATGGATAGTGCCATTCTATGGCCATTAAAAAAATAAAACACAAGACTCCTTTAACAAGTCAGTCCCGGTAAAAGCTTTTCTGTAGGGGGGTAAGTAACAGTGGTCCACCTGGGTAGCTTTTCCGGTGATTTAATTTGATGAGGAAAGAACAATTTTTTGAGAACAAAGAACCACGTGTAAAATGGATATTTTGTGCATTTTATGCCACCTCCTCAGGGTGAGGAGCTCACGGCAGCCAACACTCAGAGTGGGCTAGGCATTCATCACCTACTTCCTGATTTGCCTTAGAGTAGGGCCTGAATGCTGCTGGAGTAAAAAGTTGCAAGAGGGCTGGGCAAAACTGTCTCACGAGTAATATGAGAATGAAAAAATATGCAATTAAAATACGACATGTAAAAACTTAAGATCTTTACTTTTATGTAGACTACACAAAAAACAGCAGTGCTGTTATTCAACAGGAGCTTCATATCACAACACCTTTTTAGGGAGAAGACTGCAGCATGACTTCAGTCAGTGTGCTTGTTGGTTAGACTGAATCAAATATGTATGGTAAGAGCTTGTGTACTTGGCCTCCTTAAGGGATCTGACGTCTGCTTACCTATCCTTCCCACACAACATCTACTCCTTTATTTGTTAACATTTCATAAGAAAATCAGAGTGGCATCTTTTTAGACTACACTGGACAATTCTCCTAAGCTGCCGCAGTCTGGCTGGGCACAAATCACGAGCCACTCAAGCAGGAACAGACTTTATTTCCGAACTCCCGCGAACGCCACCCACGCGGCCTTCTCGGGACACACCACACACCAACACACCAACGGGAACTCCCTCCACCGGAACTTCACCAACCAACACCAACTCTCCAGGCATCCCCGCGAGAGCTCAACTGGAACTCAACGGGAACTCTGCGAGAACTCAAAAAGTACTGGCAAAATGCTAGGCGCCATCCTGTTTTTATCTTTGTGTGCTAATAATACATCATCCATATAGTGAAATACTTGTAGTTCAGGATTTTGATTTCTAAGTGGCTGGATTGCTTTGTTAACATAAATTTGACACATAGTTGGGCTGTTAGCCATCCCTTGAGGGAGTACTTTCCATTCATATCTCTGATCAGGACTTTCATGATTCAGTGCAGGGATAGTAAATGCAAAATGTGGACTATCCTCAGGATGAATTGGAATTGAAAAAAAAAAAACAATCTTTAATATCTATAGCTAAAACACTAAGCAGAAAGCATTGCTCCTGCTTTTCGTGATGCTGTCGGTCACTGCTGCCTGAAGAGCGGTGGCCTCGTGGGCACAGAGGTGCACTGGAGTTGGGATTATTTTAAATTACCATGCTCTCTACTTGATTTATACCTTTTCTGCTACTGTAATAACTGCTACCAACACTGACCTTTATCCTTCTCCTTCACAGTGGACTGCAAACCACTGCAGTTGTTTGGCACATTTTGTTTAACCAAGTCTGTCTGTGCTGTGACTAACTGTGGTCACCTCAGTTAGGCATGTCTCAAGTGAACAGTCACGTCAAAACAGAAATTCAGACAATTGCTCTTTTTGAATAATTTGCTAGAGATGAAATAATTTCAAATTTTTATTATCTCTAACTAAAAAGAGCTTTCTCTACAAGAATGTGTGAATTACTTTGTCCCTTATAAGATGACAGTATTTGTTTTGCATCTGGAACGCCCCCTGTCAGATCAGGTTGGGCAGGCAGCAACCAAAGCTGGCAGATTTAAAAGGGCCGCTGAACAGGCTTTATTGAGATATCACTCCCGGGCGGAACTCGATCAGACCCACAGAGGGGTCAGGGGAAGGGTCTGAGGAGAAACCGAGTGGAAGCTCGACCGGACTGGACTTTTATGGGGCTTACAGCAGGAAGGGAAGGGCTTGGGACAGGAAAAGGTGTCTCTAGGGTCCCGTGCCCCCTTGGAGTTGGTCAGGGGAGTTGGCTGAAC